ACGCCATCGGCGGATTCAACGCGTCTTGTCCGCGGGGAAGCTCGCACTGCCTCCGCTGACCGTTCTCCAACAGCCGAAATTATGTCCATACCCCTATGGTTGCAAATAACTACGATCCCGGACTCCCAGACAATCTCCTTTCGAATTCTCCCCTGGCGCCCCACGTGCCACCCTTGATTACACGTGCAGCGGCGATAATCTCTGCGTGGGGTAGGATGCTTCCGCCCTGAGGGCCCCACGTTCGGCTCGTTGACCGAAGATTCCGCAAGACGCCGACTTGGCGGCGGCGGCCGGGGAGCTACGTGGCGCTGGCTGAAGGCAGCTGCTCGAGAAGGTTCCGGCGCCGGCCGTGCGTGGCCGCTGACTGGATGGAAACTTCCTGACGTCTGGAAGTGGGGACCTGAGAGGAAGCCGCCCGTTGGAGATTCTCGGCCCTCTTGTGGACATCGTGCACACCCATCTTTCTCTCTCTGTAGGGAACGATGCACAGAGGATGCTCTGCATTGTTTCGTACTCTGAATTTATTACCGAATCCGTCTTTCCTCGTGAATAGATGGAGATGGAGAAAGAAGGGATGAAGTACATACTTTCCTTTTAAATGGAGAGTCAATAGTCCTATCTACCCCTCGCGGGAGTTTTCAAATGCTCAATCCCCCTCCCTCTCTCTCTCTGTCTAGGAGTGTAACGGGTCAGGTCAGGTCATGATGATCAGTAAAGGTAGCTTTATGATAAGCCATGAGTGAGAAGGTAGATAATAAATACCGCAGCTTCTGTATCCCACGCCGTCCCCATCTCTCTCTATATCTATAGGAGTTTGGACTGGGTCAAGTCGTGGGGCCCGTGCGGGCGCTTGGTGACGAATCTAGAGAGAGAAAATAAAGGAAGGACGTACACTTCGTTGTGAAATGTGAAGTTCAAAGCTTTCGAAGAACGCGCCGCCTGCCCTGCACGCCTTTGTGCCCGAACTGAGCCTGTATGAAGCGGATAGAGCAAGAGTCAGGCACAGAGGCACACAGAGAGAGGAGAGAGAGAGCTGATGGGTTTTTGAAATTATGTGCATCTATTTGAAATAGATGAACGTAATTCACGATGGATTTCATTGAGGCTCGTTCCTTGGGGCGCTCATCCCTTGTTGGGGAATATCTTCCCGAAATATTCCGCAGTAAAATAGAATTAAATGCATTTAAATATTTACAATATTTTTCTTAAAATATTAATATATAAGACAAGAGAGAGATTAATTTTTAGAAAATGTTTATTGTCACGAAGTGAACACGGTTTAAGCGAATAATACTTTTTAAATGAAAAAAATTAAGAAAATGGGGCTCTAGAGCCGCGCATAGGGAGCGAAACCACGTTGGAGCCCTCGTCTGTCGCCTACCGAGGAGATGGAGGCCCGACGGTGGCGGACTGCTTGCTGTAGACATATTTTCCGTGGTGGCGCCGCCTCGTTTCCACCGGCCGCCGTTGTGCCGGTGCTGGTGGAGGGGTTCACGTATCAAGGGGGCAGTTTGCGGCCTCGGGTCCTCTCTCCTGGTTCCGGGGAAGACGACAGGGGACACCCTCCGCAGCCCAAGCCCCGACGGCCGCCGGCGCCGGGCCGAGGAATATGAACGAGCTAAGATAGGGAGCTGTTCCGAAAATAGACGGCAGAGGCCAGACCTGCCGGTCATCGCGCCGGACGGTACCGCGCATTGCTCTCTCTCTCTCTCTCTCTCTCTCTCTCTCTCTCTCTAGTTGGGCGGTTACCTTCGTGGACTCTCTCTCTTAAATTGCTGACGAGCTCCATGATGACAGACACACTTCAAAGGACAGATTCCCTCGGAAATTTGATAAGGCCCCAGCCGGCCCATACTTTTGTACAGATTAATGGACAAAACCGGTCCGCTTTGTAAGTGCAGATTTGGGCCCACTTAAAGAGCTTCATCTCTAGCGCATTAGTTTCCAATCCACCCCTATTAAGAACAAGACTAATCTTTTCCAGACATAGTCAACGCAGCCCACTCATATTATAGTCATTCACTTGGGCTTTCGAGGCTCCAATCTAGTCACCCATGGAGAACAGCCCAGAGAGTTGACCAGCCACGTGAGGCCCACCAATTAATCATGGGTATCCACCTCAGAGCATGTCATCTTATTGATGGCAGTCCAGTCGACTCATGTCTCTGTCTTCAGAAGAGGCTTAAGAATGTTGAAGGAGAATGTCAAAGCAAAGAACATATGGTATCCACCTAAGGGTTTTGACTTTACTTGGAAGAGGCCCCTCATTGCTTACTTTGCATGATCGTGACAGGAGAACATATGATGTAGTTGAAAAGATTACACCCCAGCCTACTTAAAACTTATATGATTAAAATTTATATCACTTACTATGTGCCAACAATATGCTTTGTACTTCCAAGCAAAGATCATTTGAGAAGCAGAAATTAGGTTATCTTGGGGTTCTACTCTCAACCTGGGATGATGCTGTTTGCTTTCAAATCTAGAGTACTTGTGTCTGTAAGAGAGAACTTGGCCAGTGCATTCAATCATGTTGCCTAGTGTGACTCCAAAGATGTGATAATAATCATCATTGTTCCCTGATGTGAATACATCCTGAAGATATCTAAATAAATAATATTAATTACTAACAAAGATGAATTTATTGAAATCTTGGTTCAATATCTGATCTTTCTCATTGATGTACTTAGCTATAATCCTAACATGGTTGGTATATTATGCACTGGTGGTATGGTTGGTCTCATACTAGTGAACTCCTATTTGAGACATTACTAGTGGAGGCTTGGTGTATTGTGTTTTCTAGTAACCATTATTTTTTATTCTTCCCTTCATTTTTAATGCTATTGTAATTTAAATAGTTGTAATTTTTTACTTGACAATGGATGCTACCAAAGATATTTTCAATCAATTATAAATTTATGAAAGATTATTTTGGAGATTAGTACAAACCAATCAAAACAATATGGAACTAATTATTAACCATTATGGAAGATGTCAACTTCAAAATCTATTTAGGGCTCTAGAAACCATCAAAAACCATTTAATAAGTGATAATTATCATCCCATAATTTATAAACTTAAATAAGGTTAAATGAAACTGGAGTAGTACCTTATGTTTTAGTGATTATAGTGAGTCAATATAGAGCTCATTCAACTATTGCATGTAAAAGAACATTTTGTACTGAATATACACGCCAAATATGTGTGAAAAGTAGTAGATTAACAGTAATATATTCATTTATTTAAACTCTCTAAAATTTAAGTCTGGTGCAATTTTAGGGGAATAAGCTGCAAACATGAGTTAACAATTTGACCTCTTTGTATTATTAAATGAAACCCAGCTTTCATAACTTTCTAGAAGAAGATACCACCTCTAACCTATTTTATAGAAGAAGATTTCAAGATTTTGAATTGACCAAGTGACTATTTCTCCTCGAGTGTTTTAGATTTATATGTACGTCAGGACATCTTTTAGTTGAAAAAAAGGGTCCATCTTCATCTAGAAAGTCAACGGTGGCACTTGCTATTCAATCCTTGATAGCAACTATGATGCAATAATGGAGATTGCTTTTCTAATCTAAGGCAGTCCCAGGTACCTAAGAACATAGCCTTCAACGACGGCCGCGAATAATCTGAAAATAGCAAGAACTGGGCATTGACGTCGACGTCCGACAGGGGGAGGTGTCCCGAGTTAGCAGCAGCCCATTACCAGTAATCCTGGGCCCATCAACACTGAATGGGTTTACGGAGAGATGGTCGTCTCTGCTCTGCATCCCCACTTGAAAGGACGCCGCCCCTCCTTCGCTGGGCTGTTCATAGCTTTGGAATCTCCACTTCCATGTGTTTGTGGAAGATTGCCAGCGGGCAAGTAGCCCGTCGCCGTTGGGTTGGTGCGGTGGGAGACGTCGGCGCGTCGGCAGAAAGCTACGGGCGTCGTCTCAGCTTCGCCTCTCTCTCTCTCTCTAAATCATAGGGGTAGAGGATACATACGCAATTTTAGACGAGGACAAGGGTGTTAATGAATATGTGTCAACTCATTGGCCCGTCAGATTCTGGAATATTACATAAAAGGGAAAATCAGTACCATTTATAAAATTTAAAAGCTATGTCATTTATTCGGGGCCCTGTTTGGCATCCAATGGGCCCACTCTTTAGGCCTAGTAAGAAATGGCCATTGTGGGCCCCTGCGCAGAGTCCTCTATCTCTGCCTCGTTGGAGTCCACTTGCCAGGTTGGATGGGGAACGTGGCCACCTGAGCTTCACCCAGTGATGGGCCTTTTTCTTGGGGCCCATAAATGATTAGGATTGGGCCCAAACCTGGGAACAGACTCGGCCCCTTGACCGGATGGCATCAAATCAGCAGGTCAAACAAAGCTTTCCATCTCAGCTCTCTCTCTCTCTCCTCCTCACGCTATCGCTTTCAGATTGACTATTTGGGTGAAGCTCATGCAGGAGCGGGAGGGAGGTAGGGTCCAACTTTAGAGGGCATTTTCTTTCATGGGTTTTCATGGCGGAGGGGGATAGCTGGGGATAGGCCTGTGGGTAGGAACGGTAGTTTGGAGTAGAACGGCCCCTTCCATGGAGGTGACGGCGGAGGGAGCGGGGCTTATATGTGAGCTCAGGGGTACCTTTCCACTTCTTCAATGAGGGAAAAGAGAGGGGGGTGGTGGTGGGGCGGGAGGGAATCCGGTAATGGCGGGAGAAGGGAAGACGCTGGCCAGGTAGGGTTTGGTGGGGGTGTCGTCTGCAAACGGAGAGGAGGAAGGCGGAGGCTCGAGAGAGGTCGATGCTGAGCACTGTCAGTGATCCAGAGCCTCTGCTGGGATCGATCTTCTGCTGTGGTCTTTAGTCGCCTGCTCTTTATCTCTCTCTCTCTCTCTCTCTTCTGCGGGAGAGGGCTTTCTCCTTCTTTCTCCTTGTCTTCTTGCCGGTTCGGGAATCTGGGCTCGCTCACGCCTGAGGTCTTCTGCGACGGCGGAGTCGTCCTCTCCCTGGAAGCAATGGAGCCTAGCTGCGATCTCGAGATCGACGTCAATGGCAAGGAGGTCTTCCTGGTGGACAAGGTGAGCCACCATTTGAGGTTCTCTTCCCCTGGTCCGCAGCCAGAGCTAGAGCCAGCGAGCGAGAGAGAGACAGAGACAGAGATTCCTCTTGCTCCTGCTGCCCCCTCCCGTGTTTCTCGGAGAAGATTTTAATGGGGCGTTCTTGGGGTTCTTTAAAATGGGACCTGCTGTCCTGTTGTCTCCTGGCGGAGCTCCTATTGTCTTCTTCTGCTTCTTCCTCGTTGTCAATGGCTGCTAATGCCGGCGCTCGCAGTGAAAGGGTTGGCCGCTCCTCGTTTTCCCCCAATTTAATGTGATTCCTCGCCGTTTTCCTCCCCATTTATTGCCCCAGCCGCCGGCGATCTCTCCTCTGGTCTTCTTTTCCTCACCGTTAATGGACCATGAATCCCGTCGTCTTCCTCCTCTGGACTTGCAGAAGATTCTGTCGTCGTTCTCCGGCAAGCTGGGCAAGCTCCTCAGCAAGGCGGCGGCGGCCGCGGTGACGAGACCTTTGAGAGTGATTTTCCACGACCTGCCCGGCGGCGCGGAGGCCTTCGAGCTGCTGGCGAGGTTCTGCTACAGCCATGGTGAGGTGGCCCTGGTGACCCCCGCTAACGCCTGCACCCTCCATTGCGTCGCCCATTTCATGGGGATGGCGGAGCTCTCCTCCCCCTCCTCCCCGTCTCTGATCAGCCAGACGGAGAAGACCCTGCAGGGGATCCCCTTCTGGTCATGGCCGGAGATTCTCGGCGCCCTGAAGCAGTGCCAGGAGTTCCTGCCGGCAGCGACCTCCGCCGGCGTGCTGGGGAAGCTCCTGGACTCCCTCGCCGGAAGAATCGCGTCCCCGCTCAGCGCCGCCAGCCCCTCAGATGACTCCTCCCCGGAGAGCTCCGGCTTTCGCTTCTCCTGCGACACCGGCTGCTCCGCCAGCACCAAGAACAGCGGTTCCCATCACCGGCTATGGTGGTTCGAGGACCTCTCCTGCTTGAACCCCTCCGCCATGGAGAAGGCCGCCGCCGCGATGGTCTCCCGGAAGATGGACCACGCCGCCATTAGCAGGTTCCTTTTCTACTACCTCCGGGTCAGGGTCTCCGCCGCCGACGCTACGCCGCCAGAGAAGAGGAAGGCCATGGACGCCGTCGTCGGCCTTCTCTTCTCTCTCGACAGATGCTCAGTGACCTGCAAAGGCCTGTTCGGGATCCTCCATATCTGCTCTTGCTTGAATCCATCGAAGCTCTGCAGAATCAGATTGGAGAAGATGATCGCCTCACACCTTGATCAGGCCACTCTGGATAACCTCCTGGTTCCCTCCCCCCCTGGTGTGAGCAGCCTCTACGACGTGGATCTCGTCCTACGCTTGCTGAGATTCTTCCTCGCCGGCTGCGTTTCTCCGCCGCGGCTGAGGAGGGTGGGGGACCTGATGGACCTCTATCTGGCCGAGGTGGCGCCGGACTCCTCCCTGAAGGCGGAGAAGTTCGCCTCTATCGCCACGGTTCTTCCCGACGCCGCCAGAGTCAACTCCGACGGCGTCTACAGAGCCGTCGACATCTTCCTCGAGGTGAAGAAATTGATGTCAATATCTCTACGACCCCATCATTGTAATTTTAGATGGGTTTTTTTCTTTTTTGGTTTTTTTGTATGATGCAGATGTTCTTCGGCAATTGACTTTACTGGCAGGTCCACGCCGCCGCGCTTTCGGAGGAGCAGAGGGCGAGGATCTGCGGCGCCGTCGACTGTGGGAAGCTCTCGCCGGCTTCCAGCCGGCACCTCGCCGGCAACTCCAGGTTTCCGGCGAGGGCGGCGGTCCGGGTATTCTCCGGCGACCAGTCCAAGCTCAAGAGCCTTCTCAGCGACGGTACCCGGCGGAGGACCTCGCCGGCCGGCGGCGCTCCGGGGGCGGGGGAGAGGGAGCAGGTCGTCCTCTACGCTAGGAAGCTGGAGGTGTCGGAGGAGGAGACGGAGAAGCTGAGAGTCCACCTGCGGGGGATGCAGTGGCGGGTGGCGGAGCTGGAGAAGCTTTGCCGGAGGCTGCAGGGCCAGATGAGGAAGATGACGGCCACCGGCGGGCGCAGCAGGACCCTGCCCCGGCTCTGCTCCTGACCCAGAAACCCCTTCGATCCCATGCATATATGCTCGCTTCTCTGCATGGCCTCACGACGAATTTCTGTACAGTGATATCCAGCGATTAGTTCCACTGTCATGACTCTCTCTCTCCTCGCTTTCCTCTCAGTTAGTCTCCTTCGAGGAGAAGGAATGAAAAGCTCCTTTCGGCCGCGTTAGATAGCCGTGACTCTCTCACTTTCTCTCTCTCTCTCTCTCTGTAGAGAGTTTCTCCCTCATTTCTCTGTTCATTCAAGGAGAAAGAGAGAGAGAGGGCAGTCGGTCGGGAAATCGGAGTTTGTTGAGGAAGATCCCGACCCTCGGCCGTCTGCTTCCTTGAGACAAGGATGCAGAAGGAGTTGTTTGGACCCCCCCTTAAATGTTGGTCCGATGAAGCCGTTGGTCTCGACGGAGGCGCCATTAATGGCAGCCGTGCAGCTCTCTGCCACCCTGTCCACCCTACTTAGTCGGTCCGAGAGAGAGAGGTAAGGAGGGAGGGAGAGGGGACGTTGACTTTTCGACAATCTGCAAATGATACTGGGTGTTGCAGACATCCACTAGGTTGTCCGCCAAATGAAAGAACCACGTCCTTGCTTTTACTGTTACTGCAGGACAAAGGTTTGGTTCTTGTCGCTTGGTGATCACTTCGGCATCAGCCATCTTCTCTCTCTCTCTCTCTCTCTCTCTAATTTGTACATAAAGGGCGTTGACTGTAGCTTACCGTCCCAATTTTCGGGCTTTTATTTAGTGCGGGCTTTATAGCGTCGGCCCGTCTCCTCTGGCATGGTTTTTAGGTCTTTCCTTTGATGCATACTGAATATTAACACTTTTTTATTTGCTCCTCGACAATTTTCTCCTTAAATTAAATGGTTATTATTCACGAACATTTTCTAAGAAAATGGCGGTCCACATCTAGGACCACCATCCAAAAGATACTGTACAGCGAGTGAGAGAGAGCTAGCTGGATAGCGTGAGAGAGAGAGAGAGACAGACAGACAGACAGAGGGTGAGAGCAGAAGAACGTAAAACAGAGAGGAGGTCGAATATAGAATTAGAAAGTAGATGGGACCTCTCGAAACCCTAACAGGACCCCACCAGAGCTCCCTAGAAAGTTAGAGCGTCCCCGCCGGTGGTCAGGTGAGCCGACGGCCGTCCGGATTAGCTTCTGCAGAAAGCGAAGGCGGCACCTTGGGAAGAGGAGCTCCCTCTCCGCCGGAGCGCCGCCACCGCCGCCGCCCGAGGTAGGAACCCCCCCTTCCTCCGCCGTTCGGTAGTGCCTTCCGCCCCACTCCTCTCCGACGCCAGCGCCGGCACGCCGTGCTGCACTCGCGTCCGCCGGAGGCGACTCTACTCCGCCGGCGTCACTCAACCCTAAAAATCTCACCGATAAAATATAGAGACAGATAGATAGAGAGAGAGAGATGGTAGCCCTCGAGATGCGGGGGAGAGATGGGCCTGGCTGGGGCTGGGGAGACGGGCCGAATCTAGCGGCCTGTTCCATGCTGTCCATGTACGGGAAGGGAGGCGACGGCCGTTGCGTGGGGTTCTTCACCTCTGTCTTATTCGGTCGTTGCTCCAAACACACGCTCCAGGGCCCCGGCCCGGCCCGATCTTTTTTAAAATCTGCGATCCCAAAATAAAGCATACAGTGACAACACCCCACCCCTACTCTCTCTCTCTCTCTCTCTAAAAGGTCAGGCTGAACTCGTGAACTCGCCCAATATAGCCCGAGGATGAAGGAGGCCAGGGTCGGGCCGGCCCGTTAGGCCCATGAGGAAGGGGGCACAAGACCCGATACCAGACCAATTGGTCCCTAATCGAAGCCTATGTCCTAATAGTAGAATCTTATCTACCTCAGGTTGTGCAATGTTCTAGGGCATTAAATGAGCCATTAAGCTTACTCTTTATCAAAACAACCCACACATTATTTTAATTTAATTTAATCTCCCCGAGGTAGCGCAGATAGGAAGGAATAATATGTCTTGGTTTTCAAGCAAGTCCCTATTTCATTAACTATATATTTTTTTGTAACATATATGCACCGTAATGGGTTTCCCGGGCTCGGGCCGGTCCTTCCCGGGCCCGGCCCGTGCCTTTGTTGCCCCTACTTCACGCGTGATTTATCTCTCAGGATCACCATCCCGAAGCTACGGCCACCGTTGGCCCGCCATTTTAAAGAGGATAGACATAATCACGTGATCGGATGACATCATCGTAGCGGGATCCATGGGTCTGTCGCACGTGACGATGACGTCGGCATTTGTCGGACCCGGACAGCCGGCGTTTTCGTGGGGCGACAAAGGCCGAACGTGGAAGTAAGACTATTATTAAATGCCGGTTTTTTTTTTCAGAAATTTAATCCATCATAGTTATAGAATTTTATTGATATAATTAAAATCCTGCAGAAATTTCCTTTTTTAGTTTTTCTGTATATTTTTCTCCCTGACAAAATAAACCATATCACCTGTCTCGATTTGCCCTCATTTTTACTCCAATTATGGCTTTTATTTAAGGACGGGGTGTATGCTTCCCAATATTTTATTTTTAAAATCTAATTTTATACTGGTGTGACTTTCAAAGCATATTATGTAACAAATAAAGGTTTCTACAGTACTATGATTACAGGTCTAATGCAATAGATTATATAAGTTTGTACAGTTTAGTACTATGAATGGTAATCACAATTAATAAGTTTTGAAGGTAGTCGATTAAAATGATCTCCTTGGAATTAACTTTGCCTTATCAAAGATTGATAGCCTCTTAGTCGATGACAAAATTTAATATTTAACAAATTGAATTCATATTAAGATAAATCAAGTAATTAAGAAGATAACAAACTTGATAATTTCTTTTCTCTCTAAATAAATCTTAATCTAAAAAAAATAAAAACATATGAAATAAATAATAGAGAGAAGGAGTTGAACCAATGTTGTGTGCTCAATCAATTACAACCAATAGTCCCTTCCCTTGTCACCATCAAGTTCTTAATCTGCAGTAAACTTAAACAAAAAACAAATAGAGAATGAGATAGAAAGGAGGAGAGAGAGAGAAGGACACAAAGTGAGGAGAGAAGAGAACGTGAAGAGAGAGAAAGATTCCATTAGCGAGAGAACCAATCGATAGAGAAACAAATGATGTTTCTAGGAAAATTAAATGAAATCAAAATGCGAAAATAGGAAGATTAAAGGCTATAAAAATTCAGAATCAATTCGTCATATGCAAATATGAAGAAAACGAAATTAATGCAGATTAAAAACAAAAAATCCTCCACTAACAGGGGATGAGGTGGATGAACAAATTTGAATTATAGGGTGACAATCAGTTTCTGATGCATCAATTAATTTTTAAATAACAGTAAAACTATTCTAAACTCAAAAACATAAAAAATCATGCAAAAAATAGAATAGAAATCAGGATTTTCTCCCTTTTTCACCAACAATGGGCATATGAGTAAAACAAAATCTTGAATAAAATCCAAGAAATGAATAATTTTCCTCAATTTATGTACTTGTCACCTAAATGAATCAAGGAAATGAATTCACAATGAAGTAAGGTTTTGTATGGCAATGTAGAAAGAAAACTTCACAGAGAATTGGAAGAACACTGCCCAGCTGTCACTTGATAGATGGAAGAAAAAAATAGATCCCTTTTATACTCACATTATATTTATAATTAATTACATGCAGTTAAGAAATCAACTTGCTTAAAACCCATTTGGTTTTGAGTGAGAATTGGCTTTCGATTGGTCTCTTCCACCCTTTCCACCGATTTATGTCATTTCCACCTCAAAGCAAAAGAAAACACCTAAATCACCTCTTAATAGGCTTCCTTAAATGGCTTTCCATGATTCCCCTAGAAATCAACACATTTTAAAAATAATCTGAAAATTATTAATAATGAAGAAAAGTCATTTTTGTCTAATGAAATGATTTCCAACTATTAAATTTTGATTTTAGCCCTAATATATAAGGGTAAATATATCAAGTAAATCATATTAAGATATTGATGAAGGAATATTCAAATTATAAAGATACTATAGAAGTATGAAAAAATCATATATGAAGTATGCATCTTGTAAAATTAATTTAGAACATCATTTACTTGATTTCTCATTTAATCTATGTCATTTAGCATGAATTAATGTATCAAATATGATAGTAATTTATTAGTTATTTCATAAAATGGTGTTATTAGTAAGCTAGCTCCTTTTGTGGAAGGAAAAAGTTATATTTTTAATTTGAATAAATTTAATTAAATATTATTTAGGGAAATTACTCTACACTTTCCTTGAGACATTGTCCAATTTAAAGTTTGCACTTGTGAGGAGGGTCCATTAATCCCAAATGGGTCAGTCTTGGGCCCTTTTCATTAAATAGCGTAGGGTTCAAGAGGGGGGCACTCTATTCAAAAGGATTTCAATAAAGAAGGATAAGCCTAGACCCTAAATTAAAATCTTAAGTATAGTCTAGCCATAGCTTAGTTCAACATTTGATGAGGCTCATTAACCAAATCATGATTGCAGCATTACCTACTAGTCTCCCAAAATTTAACAATATTTATGTTGGTTACAGATTTTAATTTGAAAAATAATCACATACAAAAAATAGAAATTACTCAAAAACATATTGACCCACTATAACTTACGAATTACAATCTAAATTTTTAGATTTATTTATCACAGTTGTGGAAAGTGGATGTAAGCCTAGGAAAAGGCAAACTACTCTCAATCTTGACATTTTATATGTTTAGAATTTTATTGTCTTACTCAATGCTTTGATTTAATGTTTAGGCCTAGTTAAACAACCTAGTGAGTTCACCCAACTCAATCTATATCAACTCAAGTCAGTCTATGTCAATCCACCATTGATAGAATTGATAGAAATAATTTTAAAACATGTAACAATATTAAAATTTAATAGAAAATCAATTCGCACTTCCCCTCGTGGTACACAATCTAACATACTATCAAAATAATAATTTCCAACCAAATATTTAATTCTAAATACTAATAGCCCTGATTTCTATTTTTATTAAAGTATTTAGATGATTGAACCTACTTTAATTTACTATTTTATTTAAATCACTTTTGTGGTGTTAGAGACTACAACTGAAAGTCCATGGTACTCTCCTTTGGCATGAATAAGATATATGTTATGTTTTAGCTGACATTTTATTCAGATCTTTGCATTATAAGTGGTATTCAATAAATTCATATTTTGGATGTTATCAATAAGTCATGTAGCTTAAGTACTAATTATCAAATACTATAATGAATGTAGTTTCCAAGATGTTGAAACAGCCCAAAACGCCTAGTGCTATCAATGTCGACAACACCCTCACTCTCCATCAGTTGTGTCAAAGCCGAGACACCTGATGGCATCTTCTTTGAGCACTCTTTTCCACTTCTTTTGGAACTTGGGGCCTTCTTGTGGCAACTAGTTGTTGCACTTGTCAGCTACCACTGAAACTAATTGGAAACCTTGGTCAGTTGTAGGAGCCTACAACTAGTTGGTGATCCTATTATTTCATTTTAGATTCTATTAAAAATGAAGATGTGAGACAATAAAAGAAATATGGGACAAATTAAAAGTAACCTATGAAAGGACAATTGGTGCAGAAAGAGATTTAAGTACTTTGATGACAACAAAACATAATGATATATCATTGAATGAAGAAAACTCTTGGAAGAAAATAATCATCATTAATCTTGATAAAAAAATAGATGAAATATATGTTATCTTAAAAATGTCATGTCAAACATAGGGCTCTTGATGGGATCACAAGATCTAATGAAGAATCTTCCACTCATGAAAGTCAACTCAAGTCAGCCGAGGATAGTCAATTAGAGGCTCAACCTTTGAGGTCAACCCTTCCAAGAAGAAGTGCCAGAATCAGGGTTCTTTCACCTCGAAGAGTTCATCTCTAAGTCAACCGGCACCTTCCTCCTCCATTGGATCCAACATGAAATATATTGGATCCAAGACTAATGGGTCCCTACCAGCAAGCAAGAGGATCCATCCATAAAGGATGGCCCAATAAGAAGAAGAAGAAGAAGAATGGGGAGAGGATGCCATGTCATCCTCACGTCTCTCCTCTCCTTAGAAGGAGGGTCGTTGCCACGAAGAGGCGCCACATGGTATCTCCGTCACCCCTTCTTTCTCGTTCTCTCTCCATTCCGTGGAAAACCACTGCTCTTCTTTTCCCCTTTATAAATGCTAAGACTCTGTTGTGTTTGAGACGATGATTTTACAGAATTAATCAAGGTTTAACTTACCTTCTTGGATTAGAGGGTCGTCTTCTTCCTCATCTCGCCCCTTGGACTGGGGGTTCCTCATCTCTTGTCATCGCCTCTTGGATTAGGGGCTTCCCCTCTTCTTCTTGCTCTCTTGGATTAGGGGGACCTCTTTCTCTTCCTCTTCACGTCGTCCTCGCCACCCCGTCACCGCTACTCCCTTTATCGTCAGCCACCCCGTCGTCATTGTCCCGTCTCTTGTCGTCTGCCCCATCACCGCCACTCCTCTTCACGCCAGTCACCCTGTCGCCGTCGTCCTGCCTCCTTGCCGTCCGCCCATTGCCGTCGTCCCGCCTCCTCGCCGTCCGCCCCATTGCCGTCGTCCCGCCTCCTCACTGTCCGGCCCATTACTGTTGTCCCGCCTCCTTGCCGTCCGCCCCATTACCATCATCCCGCCACCCTGCCGTCTGCTCCATCACCGTCGTCCCACCTCCTTGCCGTCCGCCTGCCGCCGCCACTTCATCTCTCTCTCCCGCCGAAACCCTCGTTCTTCTGTCTCCCACCGTCGCCACGTTTCCCCGTCCTTTTCTCTCTCTCTCTCTCTCTCTCTCTCTCTTTCTCTCTCCCGCCGAAACCCTCTTTCTTCTCTTTCCCGCCGTCGTCACGTACCCCCTCATTTTCTCTCTCCCTCTTCCTCTCCCGCCGTCGCCACGTACCCCCTCATTGCTTTCTCTCTCTCTCTCTCCCTCTCTCGCCGATGCCCTCTCATTCCGCCCCTTTCCTCTCCCCACCCTTTTATTTATTCTCATTATTATTTTATTCTCTTGTTCTTTCTATTTCTCATTTAAGCCTTCTTCCTCTCTTATATTTTTTAATTATCTAAATACTTCGTGGACCTCAACTACTCAACTCAAACCTCCCATTTTCTTGAATCATCACAGATTAAATTTTTTTCAATAAAGCTCATGGATCTCAAGCCACTGGAATCAAGAAAATCACTCTAAAATCTCCTTTGGTAAAGTACATTGATTTCAATTTTCTTTGTGAAGTGATCATTATTTTTAAAACCTTGCTCCTTATAGGAATTGAGTGAATCATAGGCTAGCTCTCTTTGTGCCTTTTATCAGTGATTCTAACACCATGGTTGGAACTTTATTTGAATTCTTGACAGTGTGGTTCTTCTCAGGTAATTAGGATCTTAATTCTTCTAAAATTAGTGGGATTAACCTATTCATAAACTTAGCCAAAGGTAATCTTGAATCTCAACCTTCTATTCGGTATTGATATTTTCTTTGGTCCTGCATCACCTATAACTAATGACTTGAAAGGTAATTCAAAGGAGAACATAATGCAACAAATACATGATCATATTTTAAAGAACTCATTTTGTTATGGGCTTTATAAAATTACTTACTTTCATTCCCGTTAAGGGCAAAAAGGTATAGATTTCCTACATAACTAGAAGTCAATGCATCGAAATTAAAAGTAATGAAATAGTTATGAACCATTTGACGTTTATATTTTTCTGTGCAAGCGCATTGCTGAGGGGAAGGAGGGAAGGAGGGAGAGAGGGGGAGAGAGAGAGAGAGAGAGAGAAGGAAAGAGAGGGAGGGAGTGAGGGGGAGAGCTCTCTGTTGTTCTCCTGATTCGCCGTTTGTCTAATCCGTCAAAGGAAACCATCATTTTATTCATCGTCAAGCGTCAAAAGAAACATAAGTAAAGGCCTCAAAAGAAACCATTATGTATGTGGGTGTCGGTGGTCATCGCCTCGCCTACGTGAGGACGCCGGCGGATCTAAAGTCATCGGACAGGACTACCGCGTATCCTTTCCTACTCTTCACAAAAGATGATGATTATTTTATTCATCTTATTCTGACCAAAATGCGATACTGCATTCTTTAAACGAGCTCAGTAACGAAATGCTGAGATTTCAGCCACTCTCTCCCTCTCGCGCGCGCGCGCTCTCTTTCTCTCTCTCTCTCTCTATCTCTCTGGTTAAGTTCGGGCCCCAAGCGCATTTCCTGGGTTTTTTTCTTTCAGCTTTGACCAAAACAATCCCCCAAGCAGTCCCTTCCCCTGGGACGCTTCACAATAGAGAGAGAGAGAGAGAGAGAGAGAGAGAGAGAGAGAGAGAGAGAGAGAGAGAGAGAGAGAGAGAGAGAGAGCCTATGACTGTCGATCGCCCGAATCCCTCACCAGATATTCGGGTTTTTCTCGATCCGATCGTTCACAACCGACTTCATCCTTTCTGCGAAGAAAATTCAAAACCAATAATTTCTTCTACGCATCTGCCCTTCGACTCCGCCGGCACTCATGTCACCATGCCGGAGATGATCCAAGATCAAACCGTAGTTCTCTCGAGCAGATGATCCTCGCCATATTTCGTTCATAATCATTATTTCTTCCTCGATCCTCCCTCGTTTGATCGCCCGCCAAAAGGCGAGAGAAGTCCGAATTCTCTATCCGAAGATATTCGGACAGGACCCGGGAGCTTGGTTTCTGTTTTCCGCTGCCTTTAGGCGTTAAAGGACACTACTGTCCGGCGGCAGCCAAGGGAAGGAAGCTGGCGGAAGGTCTCCGCAGCAGCAGCCGCCATGCTGGCCCTACCATGGAGACCGCAGCAACTCGTCGACAACTCTCTGCAGCATCTCCGCCGCCACAAGGGACTTCCGGGCCATGCACTCGCTGCACAGTCGGAGGCCCAGGGCGTGCTCCCCTGACAGGGAGAGCCGAGGAACCAGAGTCGCTTAGGTCTCGCGGTTGGGCAGGCAGCCGCTCTCGGGCAATTCTCCGAACATCTTCTTGGAGCTGCCCAGGTTCCCGTCCCTGCAGTCCCATTGAGTAGAGCGCCGAAAGTGAAGATGTCTGGTTTCGGGCCCCCGCTCGGCAGCTCCGAGACGAGGTTGGCGAGGCGTTTTGGCCGGGGCATCGTCCCTCTCTACCGTTGGATCGAGATCGGAAGAAACCTGATATCAACTTCTCGCAGAGAGCTGGAGAGAGAGAGAGAGGAATCGGTACGGAGGAACAGACTCAACCACCATGGCTGGCCATGGAGGTGCTTCCCTCCTTGTGCCCAACAAACCCTAGCAGCTCATTTGCCATGAGAGAATCCTCGGCCTCCTCTACAAATACGGCCTAAGCAAAAGGCCCCTTCTCCGCTGGTGGCGTCGCCTGGAGAGGGGAGATGCCGTGGCAACGGCGGTGGGGGACGGGTGCCGCCGACGACGACGACTGCGCGGCAGACTTCGTGGCGGGGCTTCTGGGCGGCGGCGGCCCCGTGCGCGACGAGCACGCCGGCGGCGGGATGCCGGAGAATGTGTATAAGTCGAAGAATTTGGAAGCAGAGAGGAAACGGAGGGCCAAGCTGAAGGGCCAGTTCTTCGCCCTCCGCTCCCTGGTTCCCAGGATCACAAAGGCAGGCGAGAGAAAACCCCAGCTCCCTCCACTTTAGGCTCCGGGATTATCGATCGACCACGCTTTCCCCCGCAGATGAGCAAGGAATCCACCCTCGCCGACGCGATCGACTACATCCAGGAGCTCCAGAGCCGGAAAGAGCAGCTCCAGAGGGAATTGCAGGAGATGGCAGACGCGGAAGCGGAGATCCAGGGGAGCGTTTCGAGCACCGGGGAGAAGCCTCTGCCAGAACCCGTCGACTGCAAGGTTCCTCCCCGGCCATGGCCCATTGATCTGAACCAGGCGGCGACCTAATCCTCCCTCTCCTCGAGCTCTTGTTGCAGGAGGAGGTGGAGGTGAGGCCCATCGGCAAGAACAGGCTCCGGGCCAGCATAGTCTGCAGTAAGAGGAAGGGCGCCCTGGCGAAGCTGGCGGAAGCCATGAGCACCCTCGGCCTCGAGGTGACCGGCGTCAACTTCCTCACACTCCCCGGCGTCTCCCGGGTTCTGATCTTCATGGAGGTGAGGAGATGGCCATTCTCGGCGCTGCTCCCCCCCCTCTCTGACGGAGAACTGACGGACGACCTGCTTTTCTTCCCTCGACGCGAACTACGAAGATGAGGGGCGAGCGGGCGGTCGCCGGTGAAAGAGTGAGAGACCTGCTGCTTAGGGTGATCTGACGCCGCCGGAGACAGTCTTAGAACGACTCCTTGTTCCTATCCTCTGCACTTCATTTCCATCCTACAATGTCTCAGAACTTTGCATTATTAGACAAATCAAATATTCTTTTGACCCTTAAAAATGATCGAGATGATTCCATACGCTCTAATATCCTTTATGCAATATATTGAGTATTTAATTAATGTTATCAGCGCAAATTCCCTATGCCCTTATTCAGGTGTCGACACAAAGAGACGACCAGTAAACACAACACAAGTGTTATCGCATGAGTAGAGAAGAGGAGACGACCAATAAGCACAACACAAAGTGAAGGACAACTGACTGATGGGCACGACATCTCTACGAAAAGACCAGTTTTGGACCACTAAACAACCATTGGAAAACCTTGAAAATAAAAATGGTAATATAAGAAGGAACATTCTCTTCAATTGGAAACAAAGAGGATCAACGAATATGTCATGATCAAGGTGATAGAATGTGAAGCAACTAAGGGCAAAAAGGTAAATATTTATTGTGAAACTTCAAATGAGAAATTGATGAGACTTGAGCTTCTGGAAGATTGAATTGTGAGTGTTGAGTATAGTTTAGTTTAACTCATTCAGAATTTTTCCTTAGAGTACATTTATATGTGATAACCTTGTTTGGCCCCTAGAGCCATGAATTGAAAAAAGAAGAGATATACTCCTTTATTTAGGCCCCTAGAGGCATAAATGTCGAAAACCAATGTCCTCTATTTGGTCCCATAGAGCTGTGAATTTGAGAGAAAAAGGAAACCTCCTTAGGTTTGTCCCCATAAAGCCATGGATATGGATGAGGATTTCTAGATGCACTTTCAGCTAGTTAGAAGTATTGAATCTAGTGAAGGTGGTTGAAACTTGTAATTCAATGCATGTTTCACTAATAATTTAGTGGAACCCAATAACATGGTCCTTTAAGAATGGACTAGGTCAAGTGACAAAACCACTTCAAATTTTATGAGCAAAATATTTATCTCACCTTCTAAATCTTAGGAGCAAACAACAAATATAAAAAAATCATTTCAATCAACCTCTAGGATCTTGGTACCACATACAAGCTTGTGTTATAGGTAGAAACCATACTTCTTTAAGAAATGCTTCTGCTATATCTACAAGCACTTTGTTGTCACATTTTTCATCTTGACAATATTCAACTCTCCAATGATATAATGTTATCTACTCCTTTGGCAATGGACTATGGCTAACATCTCTTTGTCATATATGAAGTGATACTACTTTACATTATTGATAACTTAGCTCTAACAAGTGAAGTTATGTTTCTCTTTATGACAACATTGGTAATACCTATTAGTAAAGTATGAACATAATTCTCTAACCATAAGCACCCTTTGATGAACTTCTAGTAATAGGTAACTAGTTCCCTAAAAGAAGGATTACATTTGAACTTAGTTGGAAGTTTGCTATGCTATTTTTAAGGAGACTAAAGATGACAAAGAGTGGGGTGAATTGGTCTTTATAAAAGTTTATTTGATATTTTTTTGCAATTTTTTTGATTTAGGATTTATAATGGCAGACACAAAAGACCTACCTCACTCTTTAAAGATTTTGATTTAGGTTTTGATGAAGATCTAAACCAATAGATCTAGTATATTTTTATTTTGATTGTCGTTTTCTGGGGAAAAATGATAAAACTCTCCCATTAAAAGTTTTAAATAAATAAAAGTCAATGATGACAGAAAGACAAAATTTTAGAGAAAAATGCAGAAATATTTTAGGTGAGCCACTAACTAGCATCTATTAGAATCTAAGTGGTGGCCCATATCAATGGGAGGAGGATGCATTTATCTTTTCCTTCTCCAAATCCTTTACTTCCTATTCAATTCTTCTTCAGTAAATGGACACTATCAAATTCACATCACAATTTTGCAATGGCTTAGTATCTTGACCTAGATCAATCATCTAATGTCAGTGTTATGTGAGCACTCTAATTGCCCACATGTGGCCATGGATGTCCGACAGCATGTTCAGTAGTCAACCCTCCTTTCGACTCTTGGAAAAATCCAAGCAGACGCAATTCAAGAGAATGTTGAAGCAATGAGACCTATATTCCAATCTGAGAATATAAAGGGGTAAAGGAGTACTGGGGACTAGCTCCCTCAATGCCTCTCATTGCCTTCTCCAGGCCAAGGAGGACCCCTATTTATAGGTGAGGGAGTGAGAATCTCCATTCTGTATCTGATGGACTGTCACAATGTCACTTCTGATGTGGTAACAATCTGTCATACCAACATTCACAACCTGCTGTACTGCCCTGAATGTTGTCCTGTATTGCTGGGCAGTTAACATGAAAGTTGGCAGGGTTTGACCATCTTGCCATAACCAGCTGAGTGCATTCCCTATTGTTAGGCAGTTAGGATGGACTGAGACTACACCTGATGCACCTGCATTGGCTGCCCTCTCAGCTGCAGCTCTCCCACACTTGCCTTCGGCATCCACTGTTTTTGCATTATGCTCCCTCTATGTGTATCGCTCCACTATTGTGCTAATGCTTCTCTGGGCTAGATCAGCAGCCTAGTGAGTCCATTCATTCCCACACCACACCTGATGAAGTCCTCCACCCATACTATATGCATACACCTACACCCGCTGGTAACACATGTATAATTGTATTATCTACTCATTAATTAACATCTATAAATAAGATATTAATATATAGATGAAACTACTAATTTATAATTATCAGTACTTCGCGAGCCACTGAATTAGATGTGCTTAGTCACATGGCACATTGAGTGACGTAGGATCAATCTATCATGAATCGTTACCGACTGAGAACTTAAGTTCCTAGTATCATAACACCTTGTTAGCTATTAGATCATCATTTATGGCCACGTGTGTTGGGCGACATTGAATTTGCGAACCGCCAATGGATTGCTTAAGACTTCTTGGATTGTGATAGTTCGCCAGTTACAGAATCTGATTGATCTGATGATGTGACTCACTAAACACCGCTAGATCACATTGCACTCTAGATGGCTGCCCTAAAACACAAGAGAAGGTTTAGTCCCACATTAGAAGTTTTTCATCATTTAAGCTGAATATAAATCAAAGTTACTCTCTCTCAAGAGAGATCCCTTCTCTTGAAATAAAATAATGTCCATGACCATCTTGAGAGAAGGTAAAGGTGTGGTCCACTCTCATGCACACACATGTGTATGATGCTCCTTGCTCCACGACCGGTTGGCCACTAGCACGTGGCAAAGGAGTGATGCATACGTGCATAGAGCAAGTCCTTCGCCTCTTGAGTCGAGCTCGTGGCTCCCTCGGTCTAGATCTACCCACTCAACCACAATGACTGTCCGAGTCTAGCTGCCTGAGTGTTGGATTGCCAACGGGTGGTGATATTTTTTTATCTTTTATTTCTTCTAAATAATAAAAAATTATGCTAAATATTTTAACTTAAGACTTTTAAAATTAACAATATATTCATATATTTATTCTAAAATTTAACAAAATAAAATAAAATAAAAAAACTAATTAAAACACAAAAAATCTAACTTTAACAAGTAGCATTTTGTATGAGGCTCTAGTTAGTGGTGTTTCCCCTAGTAACAATTCAATAACATGTTAAATCTCCCATCTCAACGATAAATTAGTTAGGAGTTTCTCAAGCATGATGGTATGAAATTCTTTGAGTAAGGGCAAAACCTGTGGGTGACCCACCAGTTTTCCTTCTCCTTCCACCTCCCATAATATGACAAGGTGGGTGTCTGAATCCTTTTGTAGGTCAAAATTCAGTTGTATTGTAGAAATTACTTGGGGTTTGGTTATCTTTTGTGTGGACCTAATAAGTCTTCATTATCATGAGTTAATAATTAGTAAATAGTATAGTTTTAGCCTTAACTCATGATAAATAAACTTATATTTGTGTTAAAATGTGAAAAGTGGTTTTCAGTTGATTAACGTGAATTTTTGGATAATTATGTGATTTTAAATAATTTTATATGATTTTTACAGTCATACTTTTGAGATAAATGAAGAAAAAGAAATTAAAATAAAAATAAGACAAAATGAGAGACCCGCTGGCCAGCCGGGCCCGCGAGCAGGTCGGAAGTGCAATCGAAAAGTAGCCGCGAGTAGGGACTTGAGCGGCTTGGACCGAAGGGGCACGTGTGCACCACCCCCCTTCCACGTCACTAGTGGCCAGCCGGTTGTGGGTTTTGAAGGATGGAAGGATTAAGCAACTAGAATCGCTAGATCATCAGCAAAAATCTCGTCAACGTGATTTGCAGAGCATTGTTACTAAAATTGCTGAACGATTCACGATAAAAAGATTGCGAATCCATCAAGTAAAGCATTTCCGATTGATCGATGAACAAGCCATCGTCGGGAAGAGGACGATCTGCTGGGAGATGAGCCGCTACCTTCTGAGAGCATACTAGATGCGATGAAGAGCCTCCTCTTGCTGTGCGGACCTGAGGATGAAGCTCCCTAACACGCGCCCCACCTCCATGCAGCTCCTCTCCGTGGGGTGACAGCCGCCGGAGAGCCGCAAAGTCGCCATTTTTCCGCTCCGCTAGGTGACAGCCGCCGGAGACGATTCGACGACCCATTTTATTGATCTCTAGACTTTGCAAGGAGATCTAGAGATTGCCCACATCGTCTTTGTCCAAAGAGAGCCTTCGAGGCCGTGGACACTACACGACTATTGACGTGACTCAGTCGTTGTATATTAAATCACGCAAATCTAAAATTTATAAAACTAGAAAATATGAATTTTTAGATATTTAGAAGTATTTCTGAACAAATATATCAATTATAATTCAATCAAACTTCTAAAAATAGCGATAATTTTCCAGGTCAATCACAGGGATGTAATATAATATATGATAATTATTCAGAATCTTTCTCAATGAATACGATTTTCTATGAATTGTATACTAGGAAATAAAAAGGAAATATATTTAAAATTCACGAAAAAGGGAAATAAGGGTGCGGACGTCAGGATGACGCCTGGCGAACGCGAATCGGGCGGAAACAGAGTTCTGCGTGGCGATTCTTACGTAAGCGATTACAGACGATTTAATTAATCAAATTAAGATCTGTAAAAGCCGAAAGAATCGTAATAGAACAAAGTATATTTTAGTAAATTAAAATCACAAAAACTATCACTAAATGAAGTGTAAAGTAAGTTGAAAGCAGGAAAATAGAGTTCCGGTGTCGTGACGGCGATGCATCGGTGATGCACCGGAATCCTGAGCATTCGGGAGGATCGTCGTACAGTGTCCACAGCCTCGAAGGCTCTCCTTGGACAAAGACGACGTGGGCAATCTCTAGATCTTCTCGCGAAGTCTAGAAATTAATGAAATGGGTCACCGAGTCGTCTCCGGCAGTTGTCACCCGGCGGAGCGGAAAAACGGCGACTTTGCGGCTCTCCGGCGACTGTCACCCGACGGAGAGGAGCTGGATGGAGGTGGGGCGCGTGTCAGGGAGCTTCATCCTCAGGTTCGCACAACAAGAGGAGACTCTTCATCACATCTGGTACGCTCTCAGGAGGTGGCGACTCGTCTCCCAGCAGATCGTCCTCTTCCCGACGACAGCTTGTTCGTCGATCAATCGGAGATGGTTTACTCGATGGATTCACGATCCTTTTATCGCGAATCGTTTAGCAATTTTAGTAGCAATGCTCCGCGAATCGCGATGACGAGATTTTCGCCGATGATCTAGTGATTCTGGTTGCTTAATCTTTCACCGGCGATCTGCAGAAAAGTCGTGATAATCAGATAAAAAGATATGAATTTTGACTCTGAGAGGATTCGAACCCGCGCCGGTTGTCCGTCCCTTCTGAGGAAGGTGTGACGGGGGTTTAGTCCCACATCAGTTGTGCGCCGATTTTTCAGGCGAATATATAGTAATGTTAGCTTTTTAAGCAAAGTCCCTTCTCTCGCGTGTACGACCACTCCTTGCCCCACAGCCGGTTGGCCACCGGTGACGTGGAAGGGGAGTGGCGCACACGTGCCCCTATCGGTCCAAGCCGCTCGAGCCCCTGCTCGCGGCTACTCCCTGACTGAGCTTCCGACTCGCTTGCGGGCCCAGCTGGCCGGCGGGTCCCCTCATTTTGCAATATTTTAGTTTTATTTCTTTTTCTTCATTTATCTCAAAAGTAAGACTATAAAAATCATATAAATTCGTATAAAATCACATAATTACCCAAAAAATCACATTAATCAACTGAAAACCACTTTTCACACTTTAACACAAATATAAGTCTATTTATCACGAGTTAAGGCTAAAACTATATTATTTACTAATTATTAACTCATGATAATGAAGACTTATCAGTCCCTTTCCGTTAGCTGAAAAATATGAATATTTTTTGCTTGCTATTGATTATGTGTCTAAATAGGTGGAAGCTAAAACTAATGATCATAAATCATGATAAAATTTGTATAAGGAAATATTTTTTCGAGATTTGGATGTCCTTGAGTGATTATTAGTAATGAAAGAATATATTTTACAAATAAATATTTTAGAGAACTATTGAAAAAGAATAAAGTACATCATAGAGTAGCTGATAAGTCTTCATTATCATGAGTTAATAATTAGTAAATAATATATTTTTAGCGTTAACTCATGATAAATAGACTTATATTTGTGTTAATGTGATTTTTTATGAATTTATATGATTTTTAGTCTTATTTTTAAGATAAATGAAGATTAAATAAATAAATTTATATAGTAAAATAGGAGGGCCCCCCGGCCAGCCAAGCCTGCAAGCAGGTCGGAAGCACAGTCGAAGGGAGCCATGAGCAAGACTCGAGTGACTAAAGACTGATGGGGCCATGTGTGCATCACTCCCCTTCCACCTCATTGGTGGCTAGCTGATTGTGCGGCAAGGAGTGGTTGTACATGTGAGAGAAAGAGACTTATTACTTGCAACTGGGATATTACTATATATTCGCCCAAAACTTTGGTGCACAAATAATGTGGGATTAAATTGGCAGTCACACCTTCCTTGGAATGTTTTTGAAGATTGTAATACCTAAATTATCCCTTAGTTAGAATAAAGATATATCATGATGACGTCACTTGATAAGGGTATTAGAGTACTAATTTCAATCTCTCTTATGCAAGCAGGCAACCAGCATGGGTTCGAATCCTTCTTGAGTCAAAACTTGTATTTTTTATTTGATTATCACAACTTTTCTGTAGATCGTTGGTGAAGGATTAAGTCACCAGAATCGCTAAATCATCGACAAAAATTTCGTCAACACGATTTGCGGAGCATTGTTACTAAAATTGTTGAACAATTTGTGATAAAAGGATCGCGAATCCATCGAGTAAATCATCTCTAATTGATTGATGAATAAGCTATCGTCAGGAAGAGTACAATCTGTTAGGAGACGAGTCATCACCTCCTAAGAGCATATTGGATGCGATGAAGAGCCTCTTCTTACTACGTGGACCTGAGGATGAAGCTTCTTGACACGGGCCCCACCTCCATCTAGCTCCTCTTCGTCGGGTGAGAGCTGCCGAAGAGCTACAAAGTCACTATTTTTCCGTTTTACTAGGTGACAGCCACCGGAGATGATTCGACATCTCATTTCATTTATCTCTAGACTTCACAAAGAGATTTAGAGACTGTCCACATCATCCTTGTCCAAAGAGAGCCTTTGAGGCTGTGGACACTACACGACAATCCTCTCTAACACTGAAGATTTTGGTGCATTGTCGATGCATCACCGCCGTGACATCGGAACTCTATTTTCTTACTTTTAACTTAATTCTACTTCATTTAGTGATAATTTTGTGATTTAAATTTACCAAGATATACTTCATTCAATTATAATTCTTATGACTTTTATAGATCTTAATTTGATCAATTAAATTTTTTGTAATTGCTTACATAAGAATTGCTAGGTGGATCTCTGTTTTTGCCTAATTCGCGTTCATCGGGCATTAACATAATCTTGACATTCACATCCATATTTTTCTTTTTCATAAATTTTAAATATACTTTATTTTCATTTCTTAGTATAAGATTCATAAAAACTCATATTCTTTGACAAAAAATTATAAAAACTTACTAGATATTATATTACATTCTTGTGATTGACTTAGAAATTATCACTATTTTTGAAAGTTTTATTAAATTATAATTGATATCTTTGTTCATAAATACTTCTAAATATCTGAAAATTAGTATTTTCTAGTTTTAGAATTTTTTAATTTACATGATTTACTATATAACAACTAAGTCACATTAGTGGCCACTCCATATCAACCCCAAATAAATAAGTAAGCTGAAGTAGCAAATAGACAAATCTAGAGAATTTTAGGAAAAATAATTAGACCATATAAGAAAGATTGATCCACAAAGTTATAAGATACGTTATGGGATTATAGAATAACTTATAAAAATCTCATAGGTATGTCCCTATTTAGTCTTATTTTTAGAAAATCATGTGATAAGTCTTCATCATTATGAGTTAATAATTAATTAATAATATATTTTTGGTATTAACTCATGATAAATAGACTTATATTTATGTTAAATTGAGAAAATTAGTTTTTAGTTAGTTAATGTGATTTTTTGGCTAATTATGTGATTTTATATGATTTTTTATAATTTTTATAATTATATTTTAAGATAAGTAAATAAAAATAAAATAAAATAAAATAAATTAAAAGGATAGAAAAAGAGAAGAACCTGCTGGCCAACTAGGTCTGCAAGTGGGTCGGAAGCATAGTCGAGCGAAGCCACGAGTAGGGGCTAGATTGGTTGAGGATGGACTGATAAGAGACATGTGTGCATCACTCTCCTTACACGCCACTAGTGGTCAACTTAGTGTGGGACAAAGAGTGGTTGTACACATACAAGAAAGGGACTCATTACTTTCAAAATCTGATATTACTACATATTAGTCTCAAAATTTGGCACATAACCAATATGAGACTAAATCGATCACAACTTCCTTAAAATGTTTTAATGATTTTTGTACCTTAAATATCTCTTGTTTATTAGAAGGAGGTACCCTAGTGATGTCACTTTATAAAAATATCTATGTACTTATTTCATTTTCTCTCATGCAGGCGAGAGACTAACGAAGGTTTGAATCCTACTAGAGACAAAACTCATTTTTATTTGATTAAATAATAATTTTTCTACATATTACCGATGAAGGATTAAGCCACTAGAATCACTCAATCATTGACAAAAATCTCGTCAACGTGATTCATGGAGTATTGTTATAAAAATTACTGAATGATTTGTGATAAAGGATCACGAATTCATCTAGTAAATCATTTTTGATTGATCGACGAATAAGTCATCATCGGGAAGAGGATGATCTACTAGGAGATGAGTCACCACCTCTTGAGAGAGTACCAAATGTGATGAAGAGCTTCTTCTTATTGTGCAGACTTGAGAATGAAGCTCCTTAACATGAGCCTCACCTTCATCTAACTCATCTATGTTGGGTGATAGCCGCCGAGGAGTTGTAAAGTTGTTGTTTTTTTGCTCTGTTGGGTGACAATTGTCAAAGACGACTTGATGATCTATTTCATTGATTTCTTGACTTCACAAAAAGATCAAGAGATTTTTTAAGTCGTCCTTATCTAAAGAAAGTCTTTTAGGTTGTAGACATTGCACAATAATCCTCTCAAATGCTCATAATTTTGACACATCGCCGACGCATCAACACTATGACGTCGAAACTATGTTTTATTATTTTTCACTAGTTCAACTTTCACCATCATTTTTTTGACTTTGAAAAGAGATCTAACGAATGCCCAAGTCATCCATGTCTAAAGAGGGCCTTTGAGGTCATAGACATTGTTCGATGATTCTCTTAAGTACAGAATTTTGGCAATTATTGTCACAAGGTCGAAACTCTATTTTTTCTACTTTCAACTTACTTTGATTTAATTTAATGATAATTTACATGATTTTAAGTTACTAAAATGTTTTTGATTTAATTATGATTCTTTTAGATTTTACAAATCTTAATTTAACCCATTAAATTGTCTATAATAACTTATGTAAGGATTATTAGGTAAAACTTTATTTTTTTCTGATTCCCATTCATTGGGTAGTGACATCATCATGATGTCTGCACCTTTATTTTCTTTTTTCGTACATTTTATCTATATTTTATTTTTATTTCTTAATTTAAAATTTATAAAAAATCGTATCCTTTGTAGAAAATTCTAAAATATTCTTGACATTATATTACATTCTTGTGATCAATTTGAAAATTTATCACTATTTTTGAACCTTTTATTAAATTATAATCAATATATTTGTTCAGAAATACTTATAAATATCCAAAAATTAGTATTTTCTAATTTGACAAATTTTAAATTTTTGTGATTTATTATACAATGACTAAAAGTCACATCACCATGTCATCTTCGTATAGAAATAGATCATAAAGTATTATGGGTTATAATTTTTTTTTGTAGGGATTAAAAATTAATTAGTCAACATAAAATTTTTCAGCTACTTGAATTAGAGGAGTTGAGGAATGAAACTTATGAAATGATAGAATATATAAAGAAAAAACTAAAACCTTTCATGATAAACTAGAATATGAGGATAAAAAGTATGGTTATATGATTCTAGGCTGAAATTATTCACAATAAAATAAAAATAAAAATGGATAGGACCTTATGTGGTGGAAGAGACATAATCATGAGGATGTAATAATTAAAGATCCTAAAAGTGATCAGAATTTTAAGGTAAATGGATAGCAGCTTAAGCATTACATAGAATATGAATGCCTTGTAGAAAAAGAAATTTTATTATTAAAAGAAATTCAATAGTAAGATTAATGTGTCTAGTTGAAGACATTACATTAAGCACTACATGAGAGGCAACCCATAGTTTTTTTTTATTCTATTTTTAAAAATTTTATTTTTCTTAGAATTTTATAGTATTTATTATTTTCAAAAATAAATTGTAAGAGGAAGAGTATAATATGAAGTGAAAAATTAAAAATGAGGTTGAGGTGATGTGTTTCTGAACTTTATCCTTTATGACAATAATTTTACTACTTAACTTTACATATATGCATGTTTCTCTTAAAAATTATATTTTATGCATATTCTATTCTGATTTTTCTATGTTATTGATGACAATGTCATTTTTAAGTTTGGGAGTGAAGCATTAAGTCTTAATTTATGTTGTAGGATGATTAAGAACATGTGATTGCATTTTTTTTTGCTCACCTATAAAAGTAATTAATTTTTTTTAGAAAAACTATAGCATTTGTTTTTTGATTTTCTGTCAAGAACAATAGAGAATAATTTATAGACTGTCAAAAATAACAAAAAAAAGTAGTCTGAATTTGAAATTCTAGAGACCTTTTTCTCACATTTCAATCCCCTAGACATATATTTCTGAAATTAGAAATTAGAGCTATAAAGATGATTGTTTTAATTTATTTTTGACAAATTCACTGTTACTGAAAATAGAACTAAAGACAAATAACAAAATTGTTAGAACTATCTAATTTATAAATTTCTTACATCATATTGTATGCACAAAAAATTAAATCAATTAGATTGATTGAAATTAAAATATATTATGATAATTATTATTGAGTTAAAATAATAATTTAGTAGCATAAAATGTTGAAATACTCCTTAGACACATAGTAGATAACATGGATTTGATTTTACAGATTTTGACTTCATGATCTTAATAGATAGTATTTACCTGATGTGAAAATTTGATTGATCATTTGAGTTTAATAGAATTTTTTATACCCTAATTTATAAGAATTGTGAGGAGAAATCACTTATTTTGGAATCTTTTTAAAAAAAACAATGCGAAAAATCTTAAAATATACATATAGGGTGTGAGACATCATTCTCATTATTGAAATTTGTCTATAGAAAAACACTTATTGTAAAATGAGTAGGTAATATAAAAGCCTTGAAAATGAAGAGTACACATAAAGGGTGTGAGACATCATTTTTATTTTCAAAATTTATCTACATGAAAACCTACTTATCCACTATAGAAAAAAATAGAAGAAATATAGTGCAAACTTCAAAAATCAAGTCATGGAAAGAAAAAATAAAAATAAGATCAATATTATTATTAGATGAATATTGATAATTGAAACATCTTGTGAATTATATCTATGAGTGAAGAAGTGACAAAGATTTGAATATAAGAAATGAAGTCTAGATTGTTATTCCAAGGAGTGTTTGACATAATTCTTAAATACTTGGTATAAGAGTCTAAAGTGTCTGGTAGTGCGTCATTTCTAATTGTATTTTTATGTATTAAAATATGATGTTTAAAATTTGTGAATTTTTATTAATTTTTATAATTTCATTACTAAGAGACTAACAAGATTTAAGTTGGGAGGTGTGATAAATCTTCGCTATCATGAGTTAATAATTAATTAATAATAGATTTTTAGTATTAACTCATGATAAATAGACTTATATTTATGTTAAATTAGAAAAATTAATTTTTAATTAGTTAATATGAATTTTTGGTTAATTATGTAATTTTATACAATTTTATATAATTTTCATAATCCTATTTTTGAGATAAATAAAGTAAAATAAAAAGATAAAAAAGGGGAACTTGCCAACCAATCAAGCCCACAAGCGGGTTAGAAGCACAATCGAGCAAAGCCATGAGCAAGGGCTCAAGTAGTTGAGGACAGACCAATAGGAGACGTGTGCATCACTCCCATTCCACATCATTAGTTGCTAGCCGGGCATGGGGCAAAGAGTGATTATATACATGAGAAAAGGCCTCATTGATTATCAAATCTTGCATTATTATACATCTGACTCAAAATTTGACATATAATCGATGTGGGATTAAACCAATGGTCACAACTTCTCCAAAGGTTTTAATATTTTTAATACCTAAAATACACCTTATTTATTAGAAGGAGATACCTTTATGATGTCACTTTATAAGGATATTCACATACTTATTTCACTCTCTTTCATGTAGATGGACAATCGTCGAGGGTTCGAATCTTACTAGAGTCAAAACTCATATTTTTATGTGATTAAATTGTACCTTTCTTACAAATTACTAGTGAAGGATTAAGCCCCTAGAATCACTCAATCTTCGACAAAAATTTCGTCAACGAGATTTGTGGAATATTGTTACTAAATTACTTAATGATTATGAGTAAAAAGATCACAAATTTATCGAGTAAATTATCTCTAATTGATCGACAAATAAGTCATCGTCTAGAAGAGATCAATTTACTAGGAGATGAGTCATCACCTTGTGAGAGTGTACCATATATGATTGATAAGTCTTCATTATCATGAGTTAATAATTAGTAAATAATATAGTTTTAGCCTTAACTCATGATAAATAGACTTATATTTGTGTTAAAGTGTGAAAAGTGGTTTTCAGTTGATTAATGTGATTTTTTGGGTAATTATGTGATTTTATACGAATTTATATGATTTTTACAGTCTTACTTTTGAGATAAATGAAGAAAAAGAAATAAAACTAAAATATTGCAAAATGGGGGGGACCCGCCGGCCAGCCGGGCCTGCAAGCGGGTCGGAAGCTCAGTCGGGGAGTAGCCGCGAGTAGGGGCTCGAGTGGCTTGGACCGATAGGGGCACGTGTGCGCCACTCCCCTTCCACGTCACCGGTGGCCAGCCGGCTGTGGGGCAAGGAGTGGTCGTACACGCGAGAGAAGGAACTTTGCTTAGAAAGCTAACATTACTATATATTCGCCCGAAAAATCGGCGCACAACTGATGTGGGACTAAACGTGAGAGAAGGGGCGAACAACCGACGCGGGTTCGAATCCTCCCAGAGTCAAAATTCATATATTTTTATCTGATTATCGTGACTTTCCTGCAGATCGCTGGTGAAGGATTAAGCAACGAGAATCGCTAGATCATCGGCGAAAATCTTGTCAACGCGATTCGCAGAGCATTGCTACTAAAATTGTTGAACGATTCACGATAAAAGGATCGCGAATCCATCGAGTAAATCATCTCCGATTGATCGACGAACAAGCTGTCGTCGGGAAGAGGATGATCCGCCGGGAGACGAGTCGCCACCTCCTGAGAGCATACCAGATGCGATGAAGAGCCTCCTCTTGCTGTGTGGACCTGAGGATGAAGCTCCTTGACATGCGCCCCACCTCCATCCAACTCCTCTCCGTCGGGTGGCAGCCGCCGGAGAGCCGCAAAGTCGCTGTTTTTCCGCTCTACCGGGTGACAGCCGCCGGAGACGACTCGACGACCCATTTCATTAATCTCTAGACTTCGTGAGAAGATCTAAAGATTGCCCACGTCGTCTTTGTCCAAGGAGAGCCTTCGAGGCCGTGGACACTGCACAACGATCCTTCCAAACGCTCAGGATTCCAGTGCATCTCCGACGCATCGCCGTCGCGACACCGGAACTCTATTTTCCTGCTTTCAACCTACTTTACACTTCATTTAGTGATTAATTTTTATGTTTTTAATTTACCAAAATATACTTTGTTTAATTACGATTCTTTCGGCTTTTATAGATCTTAATTTGATTAATTAAATCGTCTGTAATTGCTTACGAAAGAATCACCGGGCGGAACTCTGTTTCCGCCCGATTCATGTTTGCCGGGCGCTGACATCATCTTGATGTCCGCACCCTTATTTCCTCTTTTTTCGTGAATTTTAAATATATTTCCTTTTCATTTCTTAGTATAAAATTTATATAAAATAGTATTCTCTGAGGAAAATTCTGAATAATTACCAGATATTATATTACATCCCTGTGAGCGACTTGGAAAATTACCGCTATTTTTGGAAGTTTTATTGAATTATAATTGATATATTTGTTCAGAAATACTTCTAAATATCTGAAAATTTGTATTTTCTAGTTTTATAAATTTTATATTTGCGTGATTTAATATACAACGACTAAGTCACGTCAATGATCAAGAGCCTCCTCTTGCTATGTGGGCTTGATGATGAAGCTCTTTAAGATGTGCTCCACCTCCATCAAACTTATCTTCATCGGTGTCAATTATTGGAGATCCACAAAATTGTTATTTTTCTACTTTATTAGGTGACACTTGTTAGAGATGATTTAACGACCCACTTCATTGATTTTTAGACTTCAAAAATAGATCTAGCGAATACCCAAGTTTCAATGTGTAAGGAGAACTTTTGAGGTTGTGGACATTATTCGATGATCCTCTTATACACATACAATTATGAGGTCAGAACTCTACCTTTCTTACTTTCAACTTAATTGTCTCTTAATTTAGTGATACTTTATGTGATTTTAAATTTCAAAAACCTTCTTCATTCAATTATGATTCTTCTCGCTTTTACACATCTAAATTTGACTCATTAAATTATCTATAAGTGCTTATGTAAAAATCATCAAGTAGAACTCTATTTCTACTTGAATTGTATTCCTTAGTGTGTTGATGTCATCTTGACGTCCTCACCCTTATTTACTTTTTTTGTAAATTTTTAAATATATTTTATATTTATTATTTACTCTAAAAATGATAACAAATTATATTCTTCTAAAAAAATTCTAAAGTATTACTTGATATTATATTACATACTCTATGATTGAGTTGGAAATTTCTCACTATGTTTGGAATCTTTTATCGAGTTAGAATTAATTTAATTTTTCTAAAATATTTCTAAAAATCTAAAAATAAGTATTTTTCCAAATTTATAAATTTTAAATTTATATGATTTATTAAACAACGACTAAGTCACATCAATAACCAAGCCATAAAAAGTACAACTTCAATACCTAAAAAGTATTGAAGTTGACTTAGGTATTTGATCATCACTTTGTTATGAAGAAAAACCTTGAAATTAGAGATACACCCATTTATCAACACTCATGAGAATAATGTCATCAACATAGAGAAGAAGAATAATGTAGCTCGCAACAATGTGACAAGAGAAAATGATAGGATCAGAAGCACTCTAACGAAGACTAAAATCTTGAACTGGCTTGCAGAAATAACTAAACCAAGTCAAGGAGGCTACTTTAGCCTATAGATAGATTTTTGTAGATACCACATAGAATCTAATGAGTCAGCCGAAATAAAATTAGGAGGTTGCTCCCATATACCTCTTCCTCAAGATCGTCATGAAGAAAATCATTCTTTACATTCAATTGATGAAGAGACCATGAGAAGTGGACTGCAAGCATCAGCAAGTATAAACTGAAGTAAGTTTCACCACTAGAGAGAAAGTTTTAATATAATCCTCTTGATATGTTTGAGAAAATCTTCGGGCCACTTAATGAGCTTTGAGACGATCAATAGAACGATCTACAACCATCTTAATCATGAATACCTAGCAACAACTCACCATAGGAGTGGACGAGAGATGAAGAATCAAATACCAAGTTGAGGTAAGATAGAGCCTCTATCTCCTCTTCTATTGTAACACGACAACTAGGATGATTCAATGCCTAAGAAATAGTCTTGGGAATAGAAACACAAGATAGGTGTTAAAGTTACATTTTTGATATTTTAGATAGTTTTATTATTTTAGTTTTATGTGTTAACTTGCTGAATAAATATAGCAATATATTGTTAAGTTTGAAAGTGTGAAGTTGAAGTACTTGACGTAAATTTTCATATTTAGAAAGGTATAAGAGTAAAATATAAAAATATCACCACCCACTAGCAAGTTGGCACTTGATAGTTGACTTGGAGGGGCACTGTGCTCGAGTGGGTAGACCTAGATTAGGAGAACCACAAGTTGGGCTCAAGTGGTGAAGGACTCACTTTGCACACATGTGCGTCACTCCCTTGCCATTTCTTGGCAGCCAATCGGTCACAGAGCAATGGGGACCATACACACGTGTACATAGTAGGGTGGACCACCTTTTAACTTCTCCTAAAATGGTTTTGTGCATTATTTCATTTTGGGAGAAGGGATCTCTACACTAAAAACTTAACTTTTATACATTTAGTTTAATTGCTGAATTTTTTTGTTGTGGGACTAAATATTTTTATTTGTTTCAATGCAGCGGTCTAAAGCGCGATGTGATTCAGTAGTGCTCAGTACGCCACGTTACCACATATGAGAGATCTCGTGATGAGTAGACAACCACAATACTTGAAGCATAAAGTAATCAATCAATGGTTTGTGAATCTTGCACCACTCAACACGCACGTGACTAGAAATGATGATCTAATGGTGAGTGAAGTGCTAGGTACTAGGGACTTAAGTTTTTGGTTGACAACAGTTTGTGATGGGTTAATCTTACATCACTTGATGTGTCACGTGACCAAACACATCTGCTCCAGCAGTACATGAAGCATCACGGAACCAAAAACTTAAGTTCTTGCACGTATCATCATCAAGGATATAAAGATAATAATCAATTATTATTTAGTAAAATAGATATTATCGATTATCTTTAAAAACCCAACTGCAGTTGTAAATATAACATTTGTTTTTTCCTTCTTTTGTGCAATCAATGCCTCTAATGGTAATTATAAATTAGTAGTTACATCTATACATTAATATATTATATATAAATACTAATTAGTGGGTAGAGAATGGAATTATACATATGTTACCGACTCATTATGATATTCATAATATTTTATTATTTAAGTCCTAATACATATTATTTTACTTATTTTTTTGATATTACGAGACTAACCCCACTTGAGTTTTATGAAGTCAAGTAGTGATTCTCTCATATTTTCTTAATAATTATTTGATTACAAAGACTTATGTGAGCTCTTATTATGAGTTGGAAGTAATCGAAGAAGCTCAAGTTTTCAGCCCAAAGAAAAACTTAACTCTTATGGGCCGGCCTAATATATTTATGGGCCCAAGAGAGGGCCTCATCTTAGTTAAGCCCATTTTGACCTTAAGTGGCACATGACCTTGGCTTAACTCATTTGACTTAAAAGAACTATCAAGAGATGAGATCAAGGTCACCAATCTTAGGGCACCTTAAGAGGAGACTAAGAGGTGGATTAGAGTGCCATCTTCATGGAAGAATCTAGGCCATTCACTAAGAGAGTTAGATTAATCATAACCGTTTATAGAGGGGCCTGATTCTCTAGAGGATTAAGACCTCTTGCCTCCCTCTTGGAGGGGACTTTTTAGCTCTCTCTCTAGTAGTGACTAGTCAAAGAAAAAATGAGAAAAATCAAGACTCGGTCAATGGCATTCTCGTGCCCAAGATCATCGTGGAGAAGAGACTACTTAGACTGCATCAAGATCATTGCGGATCAAGCACCACTCGGCCTAAGATTGACGCACAATGAGGTTTGTGAAAGATCTAGATTTAGGGTGTCCTTGTAATCTTCTCTATGGATAAATTCATTCTTAGTTCAAATTAGTTTTTATCATTTATGATATTATTTTATTACGTTAGATCCATTCTCTACCTTTGCCACACTTTTTATTTATCTTATCTTCACATTTTTTAGATTTAATTACGTTCTTCACAATCTCAAGTATATATATATATATATATATATATATATATATAAGAAATAAAATAAGTAAACTTCTTACTCTCATTACTCCTACTCCTTGAGTATCAACCCTTGCTCATCCTAAACTACAGAGTGAGGTTTTATAAATATTATTTGCATAAACTTAGTTACATCATGATAACATGTTTAACCTATAAATTGAAATCATCACTGGCTATCGACAAACTTGTTCCTTCCATCCCCAACTGCACTCAAGGCCTTTGGTGTGTGGTCAGCTCTTCTCTTTTTCACCCAAATGATGGGGATAGTGTAATAAACCCCTCTTTTTTATAGATCTCTCTAGCAAGAAACATAACATTTTTAGACAATACTTCTGTGACTTTTGGTATGGTGTGGCACATTCGGACAAAACCAAGCCACCACACTAGTGTCTCTAGTTGTCTTAGAGGCAGACTAAATTTAGACAATAATTTCTTTTGTAATTTTAATATTTATTTACCTACTTTTGTTATTTATTTATATTTTATGACAATTTATTTCTGTTTCGTACATATTTTGATAGAAATGAGTAGAACTTAATAAAACTTGAGGAATGATTTTTATTCATTTTCTGAATCCTTCAAAACTCGTATGAAATCAAGTTAAGATTGTGTTTAACTTAGTTAAGATTCTTTTATTTTCGAACACGAAATTAGTGAGATTAAAGACTGATTAATGAGCTTTGAATTGTTAAAATAAGGTGAGAGACATTCATGACTGGCCTCATGTCATGTGTGTGAATTTTTGAACACATGTTCATTCGATAAATGCAGTCAACTCAAGTTACATGTGCAATTAAATCACCGCATTGTTTCTCTCTCCAGATTATTCATCCACATTTCTCTCTCCCTCTCTCATGAGAGTTTTCTCTCTCCATCTCATCTGAGATCTCTTTCTCTCTCTCTCTTTCTTTTCCTTGTTCCTTTCTCTACTTCCCTTTCTTTACTCTTCTTACCTCACCCTTCTATTTTATTATTTCTGTTAAATAGTGATAAAATATTAAAATTATTATATATATAAACTAAATTAGTTTTCACGATAGATTAGTTATCTCTCTATGTTGACATGAGACTTATATCTATGTTAATATCTTATAAAGTCTTAGTTATAAATATTATTAGATAATGAACATTTAAACACAACAATAAGTGCACATCAATAGGTTAAAAATAAAGGAATGATATAATGGGGTGAGATAAGAATAGGAAATAATGTTTAAAATATGGTGTTTGGTATATGAATGAGCTACCTTCCATAGGGCAATTAGAAGGTCGAGGTCTAACATGAAGGATGGTGTAGGTGAAGCTAGTGATGTTGGTTGTAAAGGATAAGGCTTAGGTAAAGAACCATTTGATAGAGAAGGATTAGCAACTAAGATGAGTGCGAATGACAAAGGAAAAACTTGTGGCACATGAAGAGAAGAAGACGAAATACGTGAACTAAGAGATTTAGAAATCACTAGTTTTTTAGGCCCAAAGTCACATGAAGAGGGAGAAGTAGCCAAAGATAGTTGAAAGAAATGAGATTCTTCAAAGAAGGTAAGATCTATAGACACAAAATAATGATGAGTCAAAGGACAATAACTATGTTACCCTTTCTAAAGGTAAGAGTAACTGAAGAAAATACACTTCACAAACTTAGGTGTAAGTTTATCTAGACTTGGTCCAAGTTGACGAATAAAGCACACAACTAAATATGTGTGGAGATAGATGAAAAAAGAGTAGGATAGAGAATAAAAAAGAGAATCTAATGCTAGAGGAAGGAAGATGGCATCCAATTAATAAGGCAGACAGTAGTGAGGATGACATCCCCCTAAAGCTGCAAGGACATATAGGTAGTGGTTAGAAGGGTGCGAGTAGTCATAACAATATGTAAAGCTTACGTTTAACAATGTCATTCTATTGAGGGGTATGCGGACAAGATGAGTGGTGGAGAATGTCATGTTGTTGAAGGAAGATGGTCATGAATAAAATAAAATCATATTAAAAAATTAAAAAAGAGAGAAAATCATATTAAAGAATGAAAAGGGGGTAGAAGTCTTATACATATAGGGGTGAGGAGAGAGAGAAAGTGGGCCAAGCCCATAATCATAGGTTCTAAAGAAATGACTATAGGTTTAGAACTAAAACAACTAATATCTTTAGGTCATTAGAAGATATAAGAGTGCTAAGAAAAAATGTTGCATGTTAGCTGAAAGTGAAGGTCTATCTAAAATTACATCATCAATATAAATAATTAGCGCAAAAAAATAAGCACAAGAGCCTCTTGTAAATAACAAATAATCAAATTTGAAAGCAGTAATTATTAATTTAATTTTAAAATTGAATAATTTTGAATACCTTCTAGAGAACTAAAAAAAGAAATAAATGTGGGAACTCCTCCTTGTATGTCACCTAGGAATAGGTTTGTAATAAGAAAGTGGAATGAAAAAGTGATAAAAATACAGATAAAATGCTTAATCTTGATCTACTTGTCACCCAAATGAAGAAATAAGTTAAATACAAAATAAAACCAAATAAAAGAAAAATTGAACTTGCAAAGACTCCCTCTTTTTCCACCCATTTGTCACTTGAAAGTAAAGTATTCATTAGTTGACTAATGCTTCTGTGCGTTATAAACCATTGACACATCCTCTTACTGATGTGGCCATGAATTACTGCATTTGTTTCTAATTATTTTGTTACTTTTTGATGTTACTAATTATTTTGATGTTGGCCATGTGGCCAACATGGTTGTATGTAAGAAAGTTTTGATATAATGTCCAATATAAGGTCCAATATAATGTCTTTGATCCGGACAAGTAGAGTTACAAATAAAGAACTAGGGTTTTTGTGGAAAAAAAATAGTTAGCTTTATAATGTTTGAATCAAAATTCAATAAATAAATTCATAAATTTTAAATACCATTATCTTGGTTGCTATTGAAGTCAATTTATTGACTGATGTAATTATAAATTAATGCTCTAGTTATGACATTAAGTTATAGTGAAAATCGAGAGGAATATTTCAAGATTTAGAGTGAATAAAACCACTAGTTTCAAGTCATTAAAACTATAATATCATGGAAAAAAAGTCTAGGTTGGAAACCATATAAATTTCAACATAAAAACTATTTTAATGTGTTGGGATGGTTGCATTCAATAAAACTTTCAAATTATGGATAATTTAAAGTGAAGGTAAATATGATACTAACAACATAGGCAAGTAATCATACAAATGAAAAACCAAAGATGTTTGTGAATAACAAATAGTCAAATTTGGATTTAGTAAATTGAGTAATTTGTATCACAATTTTCTTGATGACTATTAAGGTATATGAATTGAGTTAAGAAAGGCAGAAAATGGAAGAGGTGGAATCTTCCCTTTAGAAAAATCCTCTTTGACCAAACCCAAAACCTTCTTCTCTCACTCCTCTTCCACTCTCTACAACTCTTCTCTACTCTTACAAACTCATGGTATTCTTTTGCCTTGTCCCTTTCCTTTTCATTTATAGAAAATGATGGGGGGGAAGGTCAAAAAAGATAGTGAGGGTGGTTATAATTGCCCCTCTTATTTATTGGGCCATTTATAACACCCCTCATCTTGGACCATAAAAAGTATGTCTAATATTTTGAACCACTGGAACCCACTGGTTGGATGTATAGTAAAAGAACAGGTACAATAATACCCAATGTTCCTTAAACATAAAAAACCTCATTAAATCAAGGAAGTGCATCATTTATCTGCAAGAATAATTTTTAAGTAACTCATTCCACTATTACAAGCGAAGGCACTTAAAAACATAATGGTGACAAAAGAAAAACCTTACTATCTTGGTGTCATCTGTGGGGAAATAGACCAATGAATTTATCATATAAGCAGATTTATTGATGTCATAGATTTATGTTACAATTCTAATATAGAGAAACAAAGGGTAGGAACTTTTAGTAAGTGGACATAGGTCAAAGAAGACTGAACCATTACTGAGGAGCATGCCTTATTTCACCATTATAGAGGAGCATGCCTTACTTTTAGTAAGTGGATTGTTTTTGTAACAAAAAAATGCATTTTGGGGGATTTTATATTGAGTACTACACCTTATATCTCCCATAGATTTATCAAAATCATTGCAAAGGACAAATAGTTTTATATGCTATTTGTTAGGTCACTAGGATGAATAGAGCTTCACAAGAGGAAATTGATTGGCCCAAAGCCCATTGGGATGACCATATGTAACTATCTAGCAATGGCTTAAATGATTGAATTGGAGTGTAAATTCTTCAAAGTGATACAACCTATAAGGTTTTTTTTAAGAGTTAGAATATAGCCTCATCCATGCAAACTATTGTTATACCCTTGTAAGGTGTCTTTCTTGCTTTGATTATTGTTCTTGACTGAATACAAAAGGACACTCAATATTACAATGTCCAAAAATCACATGCAACTTTTAATGATTATAAATGTATATTTTAGAGCATAAAACTACTGCATTATCCTTCTATGTGTTTTACTAATAAAAATTAAAAGGCTCCAAAACTCAATATCAAGGTCGTATGAGGTAAAATAAAATCATAGATATGAATTTTTATGTCATCAGCATTTAGCTCATTTTTTCCGTTGTCTCACAAGCTGCTCTTAACACCTGAAGAGAACATAGTCGCCTAACCACACTAGTTTAACAATACCCTTCAACCAAGGAACAAGCTTTTACCACAACAATATCTTATTAAAATAGTGCTACCAACCCCACTATGGGGGCAAAACTTGGGCCTAAGAGAGAGGGAAAGAGAGATGATGAAGATAGAGAATAGGAATAGGGGTAGGGTTTCAATAAAACCCTAACCTCTATAGGATTCTTCGATGTACCCTGAACTTCTTTGAACTTAAGAGACAAATACTATCCTTCCCTACCCCATTCCCCTCCTTTATAACATAATGAGAGGACCACAATCTAACTTAGGTGTTTCTGCTATTGGGCTTTTTTAATGCCTGTTGCAATTACCACTCTACAATGCATAAAAACTTGTATTTTTGTCAACAGTAAATAATTTTATCATTTGATGTCAAATAACAAGGTTGACTTAGTAAATAATTCTTATTTTCAGTCGAGTAGCTTTTGACAAGGTTGCTCTACATACATTTTAGTGTGAGATTTTTTGACTTTTCTTCTTATTTCATTTTTCTCTACATACATGGGATGATACATTATTCATGTGATGGATCTTTTGACATGTGTTAGATCTTATAACATGACTTGTTAGATATCTTAGAGAAAAAATTAATTTTCTCTTTCTTTAGATTTTTTTTAACTTTAGCTTAGTTGGTGCATGGGTTTACATTTTTTTGTCTCATCTATTTCTAACATACCATTAAGTGGAGTCAACATAGTTCTCAATTTTCGCTTTAGGTAGACAACACACAGGGTCTATAGACTTTTGTCTCTTCTCATTTCTTTGTTCTGGTTTTGAGTTTCTTTTTATATGTATTTTTCTTGTTAAAAAAAAACACTAGATATAATAGTTTTTATCTTCAACTAAAAATTGGCCAGGGGAATAACATATTACTGATTTTTTTCCTTTTTCTTTCTTTCCATGATTATCTGTCATTACCAAAAATATTTAGATGAACAACAACCAATGAATTTATTTAATATTTGATATATATTTTCTGAAATTTAAAATATGATGATGACTTGAATTAGCTTCTCATCAGAATTGAGATTAACAAAAATGTTGATACCTCATGTTTCAAGGTATAGAAGATATATTTTTTAATACCATTTGTAACCATGTTTAGCCATTTGTGTTCCTTTCATATTGTAGCATTATCTTCAATTGGCCTATTTCTTTTCCTTACCAGTACCTATTGACCTTTATATTACTAGTAAGATGACAATTTATTTGGTTTAAATGAAAAAAATCAAAGCAGCAAAGTGATAAAAAAAATAGTATTAGGCCAGCTAAGGTAATGGATGTCGATGTATACTTTTGTAGATGACGAGTGAGATGAAAAAATGTGGCAGCTCATTAATATTTTGTGTTTTCTTGAGAACATACTGAAATTAGTAAAAAACATAATGAAAAAAATATAAAAGCGATTCATTATTTTAAATACTACTGAAGTTAAATTCACATTTATTTGAATGATTTTAAGTGATGAAATGGAAGTAAATAACATATAAAAACTGTGTAAAAAGAATAATTTTTTTGGTGAAAAGCCTGGTAATTAGACTAGGTTTTGAAATTAATTTATACTTTTTAAAAATACAGAAAAAGTGTTATATGGTTCATTTCCGTTGTTATGATATCACACCCTAAGATTTAAGACTTATGTTGGAACCTGAAAAATGAAAAATACCCTTTTAACACAGTGAAATTTATATTCCAATAAACTTACTTGAAGCGGTATTCCTTTGAAAATAACATAAATAATGTGGAATTTAACAGTTTGATAAATGGATATCAAAAATAAACGGAGAAATAAAACAATGTATTCCAGTGGATAATGCCGGATGCCGGGCTTTTAGTTTTTTCCGAGCTGTTCCTTTTGTAAAAATAGCCCCATTAGTTTTTTGGACGGGACCATCCTTTTTAAATTGTGTGTTAGTAAAATATTTACAGTGGCGCACAATTATGTTTAAGATTACGTGCCCTTCACGCAAGATGACCCCAGCCACAAAATATTGACAGATCACGGCATCGATGTGTGACTTTTCTTCTTTTTTTTTTTCTAACATAAACAATATCTAGCCTACGTAAACCCTTATCTAAAATTTGTGAGATAAGATCTCTCGCGTTGAATCATTTCATTTGCTCCTCCATTCAGAAACTCAAATCGATACCGTGTCCATGTCCAGTGATGAAAGCGACACAAAGAGTTGTTGTCTAGTCATTGTCCTCCACGGGTATAACTTTCAAATCTTTCTTGCAGAGACCTCTGCAACTGCCGAGTTTGGGAGGTGAGAGGAGCTTTCCAGGGTCGACGAGATGGTTCCCCTTTTTGGGCTGTTGTTAGTCTCGTTTTTCTCTGCCTCGAAGTCGGTAGAGGTCATAACACGGAGCCAGTCCATGCGGGATGGTGAGACTGTACTCTCCGCTCGGAAGACCTACGAGATGGGCTTCTTCTCCCCCGGGAGTTCCAAAATGAGGTACCTGGGCATCTGGTTCAAGAAGGCCCAGCCTGAGGTGGTTGTTTGGGTGGCCAACAGGGAAAACCCGCTCGAAAACTCTACCGGGGTCTTACGGATGGACGAACAGGGGAGGCTCCTCCTCCTCGACAAAGAAGCGGGCAAGGTGGTCTGGTCAACGCAGGGTTTCTTGAATACGGGTGTTAGAGTTTTTGCAGAGCTTCTTGATTCCGGCAACCTCGAAGTTAGAGATGGCGAAAAGGGCCTACCCGCCGGACTTCTCTGGCAAAGCATAGATGAACCCTCTCACGTTATGCTCCCTGGGATGAAGATGAGCGCCAACCGGAGAACCGGAGCCAGAAGGCATCTAACCTCGTGGAAGAGCCCAGACGATCCTTCACCAGGGAACTACACGGTGGAGATGGACTTCAGCACGCTACCTCGTGTTCTTCTCAAGCACGACCAGGCTATTAAGTTCAGCACAGGGCACTTCAACGGTTATCGCTTCGTGGGTGTTCCGTTTATGCAACCCGACTCGGTTCTCCAGTGCGTCGTTAGAATCACGGAAGACCAGGCGGACTACATAATTCAGATGAAGATTCCCACCATATCGATCATGACTTTAAGTTACAACGGGGTGGGGCAGAGGTTGCTTTACGACGAGGGAACTACTGTATGGGAAACCTTTACCTACCTGCCAGCCGACGAATGCGACAGGTTCGCCAACTGTGGAGCGTTTAGCATATGCAACATGAGTAACTTCCCCGTCTGTGGTTGTCTGGAAGGTTATGCGCCCAGGAATGGCGACGAGTGGGATCAACAGAACTTCAGCGGCGGCTGCGTCCGGCGGACGCGCCCAGACTGCAGCGGAGGGGATGGATTTCTTCTGATGCCGCTATTGAAGCTACCTCACTTAATCAATTCCACAGTGGACATCGACATCAGCCTCAGCGAGTGTCGGAACAAGTGCACCAGCGACTGCTCCTGCACCGCCTACGCAAGCGCCAATGTCACCGACGGCATGGGGGGATGCATTACTTGGTTCGGCGATCTTTTGGATATGAGGATATTGGAAATGAATGTGCAAGATCTATACATACGAGTTCCGGCCTCTTCTCTTGGTAAACACCCTCCATCTTATCAAGAACAGTAATGTCTTGCTAGGATTATAATATAATGATGACTGGAGTACGATATAAGGAGTTTATATGATCTCAAGAGTTTTTCGGTTTTTATCCATGTACGGCGTACGAAGTGAATGAAGTGAGCATGGAAAATAAGAAGCCAAAGGTGGAATCAATTGTTCTCACAGCGACTCTACTTCCGGCATTGGTGGCAGTGTTGTTTTTCTTGTTCTCCGTTTGGATGCTGAAGATAAAGATAAAGAGAAGCCTGGATACAAAAGGTAATAATTTAGCGGGAGTATACCTTCCTTGTTGCAAGCCTCCTTATTACCTTTTTCAATATCAAATTCTTTACCTAGACAATCGTATAAATTGGGCCATGTCTTACAGAGAATACCCGCATCCATGAAACGACTGGGAGAAACGAAGAGCTGCCGGTGTTTTCCTTGGAAATTGTGGTATCGGCGACGTTTAACTTTTCCGACGACAATAAAGTAGGAGAAGGTGCCTTCGGTGTTGTATATAAGGTACCTTTCTCTCCTAACTGATGGCAAATGGCTTCCCTTGTAGGCTTTTCTCAGTTTTCCAGGTAATGCAGACAGATGGAGCATTTTTATGGGTTGAATGCTGGGCAACCTAATGAATTAAGACATTACAGGGAATTATGCCTGATGGGCAAGAGATTGCAGTTAAGAGGCTCAAAATTTCTTCTCTGGAAGGGCAGAGGGAGTTCACGAACGAAGTCAAGTCCCTAGCGAAACTCAGACACAGGAATCTTGTCCGGCTCCTGGGATGCTGCATTGCCGGCGAAGAGAAGATGCTTATCTATGAGTATATGAAGAACAAGAGTTTGGATGCCTTCATATTTGGTAATTACCTCTCATTTTACATTTTGGCACTCTAAAAGGGTAGAGACGATTTTCTCCAATCGCCAGCTCATGGTTACCTTTTTTTATCATATTATGTTTTTAGTAATATTCATACGAGAAGTAATAATTGTCACACTTGGACAAACATCCATCCAGATGAAACCAAGCGCGGTGTTCTGGGATGGAGAACAAGGCTTAACATCGTGCACGGCATTGCTTGCGGACTACACTATCTTCATGATGATTCCGGGTCGAGAATCATACATCGGGACGTGAAGGCTTGTAACGTTCTCCTTGACGTGGCAATGATCCCCAAAATATCAGACTTCGGTACTGCAAGGATATTTGATGGAGATCAGATGTTAGAGAGGAGCAGAAAGATCGTTGGCACATAGTAAGTTCTTTACGAAACGAAGCAAGCAAATCATAGGATTATGGTAAATAAAATTGGGGCAAAGAAATCATTCGTTTTTATTGAATGTCTTATCGTCTTTTTTTATGGCTTCCATGGCTGTCATACAGTGGATACATACCCCCGGAATATGCAATCGACGGTGTCATCTCTACGAAGACCGATGTCTTCAGCTTTGGGGTTCTCCTCCTGGAGATAATCAGCGGAGTCCGGAATCGAGGCCTATACTTTAGTAAGTCCGAGGAAAGTCTTCTGTCAAAGGTAAACCTGAACAAGTGCAACTATGATTATTTTTATTGCACTTAATCTGTATAAATTTGTAACGAGATTATCAGGAGGCTCGATAAATTCGTTTGTCAACTGGCGAACTTCTTTCCGAAGGTGTGAAGCCCGGAATTGTGTCCATCTTTCAAGTTTGGCTGTCGCACGATTGCAAACAAAAGTTTGCCCACGTGATATCTACAAATGCCTCTCGGACGCCACCCCTTCTCTCTCCGATATGGTTGTTTGTCTTCCATGAATAGATAAAAACAGACGGCCTACCTGGTCAATCTTTTAGATTTGTAGGATTTCGAATCGAAGATAATTTTCGGAATTCTTGCTTGTATTTGGGTGTCATGAATGGTTAGGCTCGAGCTTGCTCGACAGGCCGGCATTTAGATTGGGCTAGACAACGTCTAGGGCTGACAAACATGGTTCGCACTCAAGCAACGGTAGATGTTTTGATCTAATGAACAACGGTATTCTTACATCGAATTTTTTATTCAGGCTTGGAGGCTATGGGAGGAGGGCAACTGCGCAGAACTCCTTGATGATGCACCGACAGATCTTCGTCCAATTTCTGAATTATTGAGATGCATCCAGGTTGGTTTATTGTGCGTGCAAGAACAGGCGGTGGACAGGCCCTCAATGGACACCGTGACCATGATGCTTTTAAGTGAAACATTTCCCCTACCTCAACCTAAGAGGCCTGGCTTCGTCATATTCGGTAGCTGGAAGCATTCCGATAGTGCTTCATCAGTTGAGCTCCAAGACGAGGGCGGAAATGGGGTAACACGCAGTATGAGAAGGGACGTAGATTAATCGAGAGGTGATGTCAATTGCATTGGTTTTAGATGATTTGCGTGAACATGCATTGATATTTCCGGAGGATGGATACATTGCGGATTACCATTCTGAACAAGTTTCTTGTTGTAGTGTGCTTGACATTATGCGAAAATTCGGAATATGACAAAATTGTCCATGGCGATAAAGTTTTCGATACAAAGTTTATGGGGATTTCCTAAAAAGATGAGACTCATAAATCCTAGTAAAGACTGGTTTTTTTCCCGACGTTTGAAACTTTTTGCTTTGAAGTTGGGACGTTGCCGGTCTAAGTGTAAGAGTATGAAATGTGTTCAAGACTTAAAGAAAGGTGAAATGTTTAGGTATATCTGTTAAGCACAGAAATAACGGGTTTTTGTAATAAAACAGCAAAACATGACACCCTAAGTTTATAGTGGTGCAGTCTAATCTTGGACCTACACTGCTCCATCTTCTCATTTGTATTGTTACATAAAAACAGCTGTATTCTCGAGACGTGTACCATATGCATCTCAAAAAGTCCTCTTCAATGGAAAGATTGCTCATAAATGTAAAGGACTTGAAAACAATGGTGATCAACTTTGAGAGCCAACTTTTATCTTCAACACAACACTTGACCTGTAGTAAGATTTGTTGTGTTTGCTTTGCTTGTAAGTTGCAACTTTGCTAATTTATGGAAACATTGCGTGATCAGGAAGTAAAACTTGTCTTACTTCAGAATTACAATATCGATATAAACATTTAGTACTAATTACTAAACATTCAACAAATAAGAAATGTGATAATTTTACAAATAATGTACCTATTTTGTGTTAGCTTCCAACGGTGCACACTAAACACTGAAATGTTTGTCAATCAGCAATGAGCAATGCAATGAATTGAAAGATAGGTAAACCTGAAAACATATATTGAATTTATGGATGTTACAAAAAACATTGATCCACCTGAGAGCTCTATGAGCTTCTGAGACTAACCTTGAAAAGATTGAACTTCTGGAGTCGTGGAGCCTCAAACGTCTACCAAATCAAAGTGATCTTAGAGCTATAAATGACCATCCAAATACCACAAAATATACAGAAGTCACTGCCTGACCATTCTTCTTTGGTTATATTTTAGGATAGATATGCATCCGAACTACTCAAGTAGCGTTTGTGCCCATCTTTGAACAATAATGGTCATGCTGGTGTACCTGTCAACAACTCAGGTTAACAGTAATAGCATGCTTATATTCTTAGGGGTCTAAACACATGCCCAAATTTCTATGACATGAATTGGGCATTGAACTCCTGAAGTAACAATATTTACACTTCTATTGTTCTAATTGGCTTTGAACAATATTTCTGCAAAAACAATGATGTTATATTATAACTTATTTTCACGAATCACGATAAGCATCCAGTGGTATATCTGATAGGACACAGAATGATATTTTATTGCACACAAGTGCACACAAACTAATGCGTACATTATATTCCAACTCATTAAAGCCTTATGAGGAATCTTCAATGAGAATGTGGGCCAGGTAGCCACAGAAACCTCATTTGTTCATCCTCACTGGGGCTAGTACCAAAAGTTTTTAGATGAGCTCTTCAAAAAGAAGTTCACGCATGTATTCATCGTTCTTAATGACCCTCATTTATAGTTTCCAATATGGAGAAACAGGCTTAAACATTTTCATAATAAATTTATCGTTAATTTATGATTTTGTCAAACTTTTTAGCAGCCCACTCATCATCTGAACCAATCTAGTAAATATATCATTGATGGACTAATTTTTCTGTATTGAAAACAATTAAAGTCAGCATACTCACTCTTTACTCATTAGAAATGTACCTTTGTACATGACTTCAACTATTTTGTATGTTTTATTGGCCTTTACAAGCAATGAGCTTGGATGGCTAATTAGAGTCATGAACGTCACATCACCACTTGTGACGATTGCTTATTTTTCTTTGAAAGTTTGAACTAGTATATTCGAATAAGGCCCTAGAATCAATGGTTGATATCTGGCTAAGGCTTGTATTGTAGTTAAATGACCTACATTCCTCATCAGATTTGTGGATTCATATCACCTTAGTTTCCCTCCTACTCTAATAAGCCTCCAGCATCATCACTCATCCTCTTGGAATCACTCTTAATCTATTTATATCATAAAAAAATTGTATTTATATGAGTCTTGTAAACAAATGATAAGACTGATTGTATTATATTGGTTTTTGCGAAAATTATAATTTTTATCATTTTTTTACTTACCCTTAGACCACTAGAATGAAATAACTATATAGATGAAGCTATCCGCTTGTATATTTAGCATAAAATACATATTTTTTAAAAGGTCAAATGTTCACTTTTTTCATGAGACAGTCATCCATGTTTCAATGTCAACTGTTGTAGTAAAATGAGTTAAATTTATGAGTTGATTACTGGACTTAAACAAAGAATTTATGAACAATATTCTAGGTGTCAAATATAAAATTATGTAGAGTTTGGGAATCTATTAAATAGGTAACAAAAGTCAAACATGGAAACAAGACAGCGATGAAGCTAGTATTTTAAAGAAATAGGACCACACTTTGGGACCCAAGATGAGGCAAGCCTTTATAAACTACTCACATTTGGAGTATCAATTATTTAAAAAAACTGTGGCACACTTGGGAACAACAAC